CTTCTAAAATTATGGCTGATTTTTTTCTATCTTGCAGCACAATTATGATACATGTTTGAAAGTAATATTAAAATATTATGTTTTAATAATATCATCAAATCAAATTTCACAAATTTATTTTACAATCTAAAATTTCAACTGCAAAATGTTTGTATCATTATTTTAGAAACTCATAATCATAACTTAAAAGCAAACCAAATGACAAACAACTTGTTTTGTTATGAAAATAAATAACCACTTTGGAGGTTTTAAAAGTTCAAAAACAATTTTTATGCAGAAAGTTCATTTTTAAGATCTAGAAAACTTCGTTTGGACTCATTTACACGCAAAAGTGAAGCAAAGATTTCAGTTATTTGTTTATTTATTACTTTTTCAGTTTAATTTACTTAATTTCAATTGCACACATCTGAAATCACAGGACCAACATAGACTAAAAACAGCTTCCTTTGTTCAGATGTTCTTCTTTCTTCTTAAATCTCCCATCAGTAAACTTGCTGGCTCTTATTATTCTATAAAACATTATTTTCTTTATTTTGACATTTATTGGCTTCTTACAAAAAAGAGGAAGTAATGTAACCGGCCCTTCTGCCTACATAGAAATCTTGCCGAGGTGGGCGTGTGAGAACAGGTTTGAAGCACTTTTCTGTTTAGGAAATCATCCACATTAGATCTGTAACACCTCCAGAAGACTCCACAGGAAGTTCTCCCTCTTCACACTCACCCTAAGCAGCTCTGCTACATTCAGACCACTTAATCAGAGTTTGATCTTTCTGATCTGCTCACACTGAAAAAGATCTGATAATGACGTCTGTTTTATGGTTTAGAATGTGACTCTAACATGATATTCTGTTTATTTGTAGATTACTGGAGTGAGAGTGATCATGATGACATGGAGATACCTCCAGTCCCCAAACGGGACAGTCCACCACCTCCTTATGACACCTATCCTAGAGCAGCCTCGGTGAGTTGGCACACTAAATCGATTTCAAAGTGCTTCTACTCATTTATAAATCACTTAATGGCATGGAGCCAAGATACAAGTTGATCTCCTTCCTGTATATACACCCAGCAGGGCTCTGAGATCTTTAGGAAACAGTCAGCTGGTAGAACCTCGGGTCAGATCCAAGCAGGGCGAAGTTGCTTTTAGCTGCTATGCTGCAAACAGATGGAATCAGCTTCCTATAACCTCAAATGTGCTCCAACTCTTTCACGTATTCATCAGCTTCTGAATGAATGTTTCTTATGCCGCACCTTCTGCACTGTAACTGCTCACCCTTTAACTTTGCCTTTTTATCTTATTTTTACATATGACTGTATTCATTTCAAATTTCTTTTTAAAATCTGCTGTTTTATGTTGTCACGCTGATTTTAATATTTTATGTTCTTGCTGTTCTTGCTCCTGTAAAGCACGCTGAATGGCTTCTGTGTATAAAATGTGCTATACAAATAAAGCTGCCTTGCCTAAATGTGTCTAAATGCTAACTTTCACCCTCAATGATCTGTTTGTTTTTTAGGTAAGTCCCTATTTGGAGCCAAAACGTGGCCATCTCTCCTCGTCCGACACGTTCCAGTCTCGTTCTTCTCATGAGGAGTACCACTCAGAGCCTCAGGAAAGCAGCAGCAACCACAGCGTCTCTCCTGGGCAGAAGACGAGCAGCCACCGAAACTCGTGGCAGGACCAGATGGAGAGCAGCACCAGGATGCACTACCTCCAGACGTTCCCTGTGGAACAGTCCCTACAGTCTGAGGACAGAGATCAGCTAGAGATGGAGTACCGCAGGCAGTCCACTCTGCCCGCCCAGCGCAGCCTGCTGCAAGAACAGTACCGAGCCCTGCCTCTGCCCCTCAGGACGAGCATCGATTCAGATGCAGGAGGGAAACCTCGCAGCTTCACGCTTCCCCGGGATAGCGGGCTCCACGCTATTCTGGCTGCTACGTCGGATCAGAGGGAGCCTCAGCATTACCACCTGGACCCGCCCAGAGACACAGGTCATAATCACACAGATAACTCCTGATGAGCACATTTTATCATCTGGTTCTCTGCCATGAGAGCAAAGTGTTTGCCAGCTGCTTTAGCTAGATTACTTAAAAGCCACTGGGTAAGATCTGATGAGCCTTAGTGTGGTTAAACTTGTGCCACTCCTCTCCTTCATTTAACCAAATTTGAACATTAAGCAGGATTTTGATTGAAAGTTGAACAAAAATAAGCGATGCTAAGACATTAGTACAGGAAGCTGGGATGATACTTTCTTTAAATATAAGGAACAAATTTTAAAATGAGTACAGTCAACATGAGGTAAATGGTATTTCAGAGATTTGACCCTAACCTGGGCTAATCTGAGCTTCTGGAGAGGTGGCTAGAGGAGATCAACCCTGAATGTTCATGATCGTCTCCTCATCAAACCTCTCAGTCAGGTCTTTCATACTGAGCTGCACTTGTCATCAGGTGTTTGACTAAAGCCCTGAACAGGCAGTCAGAGCCAGCAAATGTCAGAGGTTTAATAATCGCTATTACTACTTTATAGGATTAGATTTGAAGCCAACCTATTTTCTGTCTCTCGTACCTTTGAGGCAGTTGTCTAAGTGAAATCAAATTTAGTGTCTTATTTGATGCTGATATGTCTCGGCACTCCACTTTCGCTCTCTTTCTCTCTCTCTCACACACACACACACACACACGTATTTTCTCTTCCTTTTACTCTTCTCTCATGCCCGATCGAGATGTCGCTGTGCCTCTCAGCACCAAGGAGGAATCCTTTCAGTCTATGTTAATGTTGGAATCTGAACAGCATAAAGAAACGTGCCCGAGGGCTCTGCTCTCTCTTTGTCCTCATTTATATTTCACTCCAACATTTGTTCTCTCTAACGTTTCCTGTAAAGATGAAACAGATGCCGAACCAGCAGCAAACACAACTTGATACAACTCCAGGCACAACACCAGAGCTTTAAAGTATTTCCTTCCTAGTAATAAAATGGACAACAGAACAAATAAAGAGGAGCGTCTCAGTGTAGTGGCTTTGTTGCACCAGTAGAGGGCACTGCTAGGAAACAGGAGACAAAACAGCTCAAGTGATTTATAAGTGTTTAATGTTTGATTTCAGTTTGGTTGTTTGAAAATGTTTTGTTGTTGATTAAAAATGCACTCAGCCTAACCTGATGTTTTAAATTGTTTTCGTCCAAACAAATAGTGCTTTTATACTTTTTACGTGCAGCTAAATCAAATCAGAAGGCAGATTAGCCTAACTTCTTTTTTAGCTTAGCGCATCCAAAAAGAACCACGGAGTCTTGTTTCTTCTTTTTAATTAGAAGATTAAATATTCAAGCAGTAAGAAGAGATTATTAGAGATTATTACACACTACCAGTCCTAATCTTTTTGGAGCTGAAGTACTTGGATAATGTGGTAGCAGCCTTACTTCCTCTGCATGTTAAAGAGCAAATTGCAGGTTAGAGACTCCCATGAACCAATGTTTAGAGGAACATAATAGAAACTCATTTAAAAAAATGTTTTGGACATGAATTATTTAGGCTTTTAGAGTCATTTTTGTGAGAAAATTTTAATTAATTAATTTATTTATTTTTGCCAAAATAAATGACATCAGCTGAGGGAGTCCTATCAGCTTAATCCAGAGAAAAATATGGAATCTAATGCCGGCTCTGACGCAGAGGAAACTTTAAATGTTTACAATTCTACTTCTGATGGACCAAAACCATAAAGTTATGAGTTTGCTGCACGCCCCAGAGGGAGAAACCATTGGCCAAAGCAGAGCGAGGGAGTGTGTGAACCAGTCAATGACCAGCTGAGGGCTGCTAGTCCCTAGCGTATCTAGTAATAACGCCGGTAAAGGTGCTATTCCTCAGTAAGCAGCGCCAGCCTCTCAGTTACCGGCTCCAGCTTATCATTAATCAGATCAGTAGTTTGCTTCGGAATTTATATAGCCTCCTGCTGCTGGGAAGTAGTCTTAATTTTGGCCCCCATACCACGCCATATCTTGTGAGTTAATGGTGCTAGCTTAAACTTGTGTGCTAACATCACAATATTGTATCATGTACCAGACAATAAAAATAGTATCGGTCAGTTAATTTAATATTAATACTTGACATTAATAAACTAATGAACTCTCACAACCTGTCCTGTCTTCCCATTCTGTTCAGTCCTGTGTCTTTCCTAATTGCTCTCACCTGCCTCTCGTTTCCCAATCACTTTAGATCCCAACTCCTTGTGTATTTAAACCCTCCCAGTTCTGTGTTCCTTGTCTGTCCATTGTTTCAGTGTCTGCATGCTTCCCATTAAAGAACTGTTTAAATGTCCTCATCAGCCTGCCTTTTCCCCCTGCAGTTGGATCCTCGCCACCTCCAGTCAACTCACCTGCGCACTGTGACATGAGCGTCTGTCAGCTATATTCATTCACATAACGTAGTTTAGCGCTTAGAGAGAGACGCCCATCATCTGATTCTGGAGCTCAGGTGGGCTTCTGTGAGCTAGATCTGACCCAGACACAAGCGAACCAGTCAAGCTGGTATTTTTAAAAGCTGCGCATGATCCTCTCCTAGCGGCCTGCGGCGGTTCTGATCTGGTTCCGACCCAGAAACCATCCGGCCCGCTGAGCCGCACGCCTCTTCTGGTGGTCGGTTCTGATGGTGATCTGAGTTCCAAGGATCCGCTTTAAATTTTTTAAACGCTGCCACGGGTCTCTGGAGCCCAGCGTGGACCTCCCTGTCCCGGTACCGACCGATGCGGGCTACAGAAGTCCGTCTTTTCAGCTGCACAAAATGCCCTCAGGCACGGAGATAGAGGTGTTGTTTCTCTTATCTGGAAACCCGTGGACTCAATGTCCAGACAGGCTGGAGCTGGTACAGCCTTCACAGACTCTAGTTCATCTAATGAACACAATCCAAAACTAGTAAACACACACTGGCTGGATAACATGACCTCTCTACCCTAAAACTACCCACTCTCCACACTGAGCTGAGGCAGCACCTAGCTTCTGACTCCCTTTGGTCACGTCAGAGGTTCTCATTTAGAAAACAGAGCCTTTTTAGAACCTTTGCTGAGAAGACTACTTTTTACTAGAAAAACTTCTGTTATGTTTATTACAACAAAATATCCACAATAACCATTTCAAACAGTATTTTTGGACAACATTTTATGTGAATTAGAAAAAAAATGTAACCTGCAATTTGCTCTTTAAGCATTCAGTCGAGCTGTGACCGATTGGATGCTGATCTTCCGGAAATGACGAGGTTGCGGAAGCGGTCCTGTGATAATATCATAAATTAGCACGTGCAGCACCATCAGTCATGACAATATGTTCCAAATAAGCTGTGCTGCAGTGTTGCTGATGTCCAATATGATTTATTTATAATTTTTCTAAATAGAAAAGCAAAAAGACAAAAATAGGAAACCCAGGTAAATCATTAACCCAAGATAAACAACCATAAGATAATTGAAAATAATAACAATATTAGTAATCACAGTCACAATAATTATAACGATAACAGACAACTAAAACTTAAAACAAACAAAATAAATTAATAAACTAAACTAGGCTGTCGCGTTGCTGACGTCAGTTCCTTCAGCCATTTTGCATGTTCTGTTTTTACTGCTTCACTCCCGCCAGCGTTTGTTTACTATTTGTGTTACTAACCAGAAGAATGCGGACTCAAAAGGGCACATGTTGCCACCTACCGAAGTGGAGAGAAACACTTTATTATTTGGTTTTCTGATGTACATGTAAACTAGGGTAAAGTTATTGCCATAGATCAACTTTGAATGCGTATGTAGTGATTCTCTGGGTCTGGGATTGATTTATAAACCTGGACCGTGACACTGCGACCAGGACTCTGTAAGGCAAAATAAATCAAAATTTGTGCCATGAAAGTACACATACTTTAGTGATTTTGATAGTGGAGATCTAATATCATTGTCAATAATTTAATTAATTTAAAATGACAGATTTAACGATTATAAATGTCTATGTGTCCTTTGAATGATGAAAACATTGTATTTAGATTTTTTACTGTCAACTTATGCACTAACACCTCTCAGGTTTGTCACGAAATGAATGAAAACGAGCTTTATTTATTACTTTTATCAATTATCAGTCCCATGTGATAATTTAGTTTTATTATTATTATTTTGACTGAATTTTAAGCTGTTTGGTCGTCCTTCTAGCTCATCGACGAGACTACAGACTGCAGACGGACTCGCTGGTGGATTTGTACCGGGCTCTGGAGCAGACCAATCTTTCAACCTCTGCTGACCACAGATCAGCCAGCCGTCTCGAGTACAAACGTTCTTTTGTCCGCAGAGTTAACGACCCTCTTCTAAACGACAAACTTCACCGCTTGCGGATTCTTCAAAGCTCTCTGAAGGTAAGACCACACAAGAATGGTTTTTAAAAAAATGTTTTTATTGCAGATGTCTAATTACCACTTTTGTTTTCTTACAGAATGTTCCTCTTCAAGGCACAAACCGGTCGTTAGGTTTTTTAGGGTAGTCTGTTGAAGATGGCCTCTGCAGCATTCTGCTTCTGTCTGTGCCTCACATTATCAAGCATTCCCTCCCCCCGGGGACCAAATGGCACCAAAATCCACCTTTTATTTGCTCAGCTGTCCATCTTTTCTCCTTTTAGAGCTAATCTTAAACAGCAGGACTTCAAACTTGGATGTCCCTATGAGTGTGGCTCAGAGAAATAAAGAATATTATAGATTATTTGGCAAATAAAGCACTTTGAGGCTTTTTGTAACCACCGTGCATGGCCACATCCTTCCCACTTCTGATTTGTTTTATACGTCATGCTGGAGTTACGTACATCTCTCTTTTTTAAAAGCTCTGCACAACATTTCATTCTGCATGTATGTGTGATTGCTGGGTGTGTGTGTTCTGTGAGTGCACAGGATGTTAAACAACACATGCATCAGGTGTATATTTAATATTCCATTCTTACAGCAGTGAGTACACACTGTTTGTGGTACCTATTTAAGCTGTACATCCAGTGCTGTGCCTCAGTGATAGTGAATGTACATCGTACCTTTTTAAAGAGAGAAGAGATTCAGAGAGAAAGGCAATCCTCAAAGCAGGGGTGCAAAATTATAAACGCTTGGCAATAATGAACTAACGTTGTAAATTACATGGAACGATAAGAATAGCTGTCTATTTTTGTATGCATGCTGTCTACCTGATTGTTTGTAAAGCAGTTTTGTAAATCCAAGTGCATTTGTTTCAGAGGATACTGGTGTTATCTCTCCCACACACCCGCCCACCTAAACACACACATGCACACACTCAACCAGCTCAGTGTATTTTCAGTATTATTATTATAATTATTGAAACTTGCCCAGAAAATGTGATTTTCTTTTTTGTTCAGTGTTTACCTTGAAATGACGACTAGCTGTATTTATTAAATGTTTAACAGACAAGCATGCTTTGTAAGACTAAAACACGTTTGAAACTGACTCATGTTGCACACCTGTGCCATATTGTAGCTACATCATTTTTTTGTATTAAATAAAGTATGGTACAGGCATAAAAAACATTTTGTTTTATGAGTCGTTTTGTTCTAAATCTGTATTTTTACGTTATTTGGCTTGATATGAACCAACTAATGCTCCCAGGATGAGGTCTGAAAGATTGGATGAGTGTTTGATTTAATCAGGAATAGAACAGATGAGGCTTGTTTTTATTTGTACTTCAGTAAATTCAGAAAAAGAGGACATGACACACATCTGCTGGTTTCAGGTAAAATAAAGTAAAGCTGGAGAATTAACTTCAGTTCAGCAAAGATCCTGAGTCCATATGTGGGAATTGACTTCCTGCACTACAATTTTATTCTCTTCAACTTAGACTGTTCGTTTTATTATTATTTAGAGACATTTGATATTGACTATGTTAATGTTGTCAAAGTTTGTCAAAATTTTTATTTAATGTTTCCTTTTTTTTTACGTAATGGCCAGAAGTGTTTTATTTTTTAATCAAATATAAATTTGGGTCTTAGGAGGTTAAAAAGGGACAAACCTCATCTCTTCACCGGTTTCAGGGCTTTCATGGACACAAATGTTCCGTCTGATCGTTACCTGGACAGAAAATAGAAATGTAGCTGAAGGAAATAAATTTGTTATTCAAACACGAAGATCAGATCCTGTTTTGCAGGATTTACAGTCAGAACTTACAGTATACACAATACTTTTCAATCTTCGTTTGCAAAATCATAAAACTTCTATTAACACTAGAAATAAATGAGCTCACAATTTCCTTCAGCAGACATTTCAGTTACGTTTTTGGGGTCAGGGCACTTTATTTTGTTTTGATTTTCTGGAGTAAGTAATAATTTTTTGTTTGTTTTTTAATTGTTGGATGTTAAAAATCCATTTGAGCTATTTTCACAATTTAAATCAAATGATATCTGAATTGTATTCCTTTTACTTTAAGATCAAATATATCAGAATCGAGATCCGGACTTTAGTTTGGGGGAATTGAATTTGAATTTATCTGAAAACAAACTCCACCCTTTTGATAATAGTTATTTTAAGGAAACAAAATAAAGTAAAAATAATGAAATAATTTAAAATAAAGTCTGAATTTGTAGAATTTTCTTTATTTACAAATAATGTAAAAATCGGGTTTAACAAATTATAAAGTGCATTTTAAAACAGATTAACACTCAGAAGATCCTAAAGAAAACAGCTGCTAATATATTAACAGCTGGCTGAGAAGTGCGTGCGTGTGTGTGTGTGTGTGTGTGTGTGGTGTGGTAACAGCTGAAAAGTTTGGGATTCATTTGTTTGAGCTCAACACTTTTGTCTCCTGCTGTTAGTAAAAATCAAATCGCAAATGTGCAAAAACATAACAGAGAAAAGTAAATATTCCCAGAAGCACCCGCGTTAACAGCATCATTCAGGATTCACAGCATTCACATTATCTCTACTTGTCTTTTCTTCCTGCTGAAAAGCCTGAAGAACCGTTTCCTGATGATCTTAGCGCTCAGACCATAAATGACAGCGTTAAGGAGGGGTGGGAAAACCAAAAAGTACAGCGACATAAACATTTTTACTGAGTAAGACATGTGTCTGCTGTCTAGTCGTCCCTGTGCCAGTTCAAAAAAGCACCCGATAGAGTAGTTAATCACAGCCAGGATGTGGGGAGTGCACGTCCGCAGGGCCTTGAACTTGGACCCGCTGAATGACTGAATGCAGATTTTCAGTATGTGTCCGTATGAGTAAAAGATCATGACGAGCTGTGGAACTGCGTAAATAACTACAGTTAACAAACCAAAAATGTTCATGATGAACGTATCAGTGCATACAAGCTTTACAAGCAAGTAATTGACACAGTAAAGTTTTTCTATGGTTCTTCCACAATACGGCAGCTGAACAGTGAACATAAAAAGAAAACCAAATGCCACACACGGGTAGATCCACATAAAAACAACCAGTTTCACTAATCTCTCAGACATCATTGCATGATAAGACAGGGGATGACAAATGGCTACAAACCTGTCGTAACTCATCACTGCCAGGATAGTGAATTCAATCATGGCATAAGTGTGTATCGCAAAGACCTGCGTCTGACAAAACAACACCGAGACCTGGTGTGTGTGAGACAGGATGTTGGTGAGGAGAGCTGGGAGCAAAGCAGTGCTGCCTAACAGCTCGTTCACAGCTAGGTTACACAGAAGCACGTACATTGGTTCATGCAGGGATTTCTCCAGAAAAATCACTCCAACCAGCATCACATTCTCTGTAAGGATGGTTATGTATAAAATCAGGAAAGTGCAAAAGTATAATGGCTTCAGTTCCATCATTCCATAATAATCAGACAGATAGAAAAATGTCACAACAGAGACATTCATGTTAGCTGAGTGAATGGTGTGGGCATTTGGCTGTACTGTTTTTACTTCAGCTTTTATTTCTTCTTCTATGAAAGGAGGTCATGTGTTCTGACTTTTCAACCAATTAGATTACAGCATGTCAGAGCCTCAGTTTCCACACTTTTTGTGTGAAATTATCACGTCAAACTATTGATCATCTGTGTGTTAGAGCCCATATTTTGTAGATCTGATGGAAACATCCCCATACCGCGAGGGGTCTTTTTCTCTTTTAAATGTTTGTGCATGAAGTTGTTGGTAATAAAGGTATTTCCCTCAGTAAGTACAAAAAAGCTAAAGGTCTTATTTTTATTCTAAATCAAATTGCAGTTCATACACATGGTTATACATTAGAAAACATACTCACACACACACACACACACACACACACACTTGTATCTGTATCATAGTGAGGACCATCTATTGACTTCCATTCACTTTTGTGATTGCCTAACCCATACCCATAACCTAACCAAAACCAATGCTGATCTATTCCTAACCCTAACCTCAACTTAAACTCAATTCACACCATACCTCTAAAACCAACTACTGAGCTTTTAAAAAAAATGAAGACCACAAAAATGTCTTCCCATTAGGGAAAATAGAGAAAATGGTCCTCACTATGTGGTAAGTACAAGTACACACACACACACACACACACACACACACAAGCATGCACGATTGTTTTTATCGTTGTCATTATTTGCTGTTTTTTGGAGTCAATTATTGTCAACTTTGTGATGCTCGTAAAATGAGCTAACTGCTATATGGGTCTTTTTTAAATGCAATTAACAAGAATCCATCCATTCATTTTCTTCTGCTTATCCGGGGTCGGGTCGTGGGGGCAGCAGCTTATGCAGAGAGGCCCAGACTTTCCTCTCCCCCGCTAGCTCCTCCTGGGGGAATCCCAAGGCGTTCCCTGGCCAGCTGAGAGACATAGTCCCTTCAGCGTGTCCTGGGTCTTCCCTTGGGTCCCCTAGTTGGACGTGCCCGGAAAACCTCACCAGGAAGGCGTCCAGGAGGCATCGTAACCAAATCCCCCGAGCCTCTTCAACTAGCTCCTCTCGACGTGGAGGAGCAGCGGGTTTACTCCAAGCCCCTCCCGGATGACCGAACTTCTCATCTTGTCTCTAAGCCACCTGTGGAGATAACTCATTTAGTATTTACTCATTTCATATCGGTAAACTCATTCTTTTGGTCACTACCCAAAGCTCGTGACCACAGGTGAGGGTAGGAACGTAAATCAAGAGCTTCACCTTGCAGCTCAGCTCTCTCTTCACCACGAGAGACCGGTACATCGCCCACATCACTGCAGACGCAGCATCATTCTCTCCCTCACTCGTGAACATTTGAATACATGCAAAACTACAAACTACAAGCTGTAGTTTCACATTAGTTAAAAAAAATGTTGCTTAATTTTTATTTAAGATATTTTGATAAACAAGGTTCTGATCTTGTTAACTCAGACATGTATTTACTTAGATTTGGACCTTTTTTCTGTTCTGGATGATATTTTAAAAAGACACAAACAGTGAATAATTACACTTTCCACAAAAAATATTTTATTTATTCATTTTTGATACTTAATTGGGGTATTTTGTCAGAAAGTTAAAAAGTCAACAAAAAAAAGAGGAAGTCTTAGGAATTTTACAGTTACAGTGAATGAAAAGAAAGTCTGTTTCAAATCACAAGTCTGTAACTCATCAAAACGTAATTATTACCATCCATAACTTTGTGTTGTGTTTTCTCTGGAAGGTAATTAGCTCTGGTGTTTTGTTGGAGATGAGACCTTGTTGGACATCACCTGGAGAATAAAGACCAAGAGGAAAACAGTAATGACTTCCCCTCGGAAAAGACTGATGCAATAATGAGGAAACTTGACCCTTAGATGGTTTCCATCACTTTTTTCAGTTATTATCAAGCTGACTTTGTTTGGGAACGATTTTGATACCAAAGCTTCTAAACCAACAGAATCCAGTTTTCTGGCCTTCTCATGAAGTCTAATCTGCAGAATTAGACTTTGTGTCCAAAAATGCTGAGTTTGGTTAATGAAGTCAAATGTTACATTTCCTATAAATCTATTATTCAGTCTAAAGCAGTGTTAGTAACAAAACAGTTTAGCAAATAAATGTCTGATTTCAATCCTCGTCTAAACAGAACTGTTATTATAGTCTCACTTATACGTCAGCACTTCTGATTAAAGCTCTGGCCTTGCTTCTGAACATCATTTGTACAATTTAATAGACTTTTTCAAATTCTTTGATGCTTTATCTTTCTTCCCACTTCTGGCTCTAAAATGACCCATAAGGATGACTCAAATCTTTGTACACTAATGTCAGTGAGAAGACGCTACAGTTGTACGACTCTTTGGGTTGAAAGGCTTGAAATGAAGCAAACAACTACATAATGATAAAAATGAAGAGTTAAAACTCAAGATGCAACTGCATTCATGCACTCTTTGGTGCATGAATGTGCCACCATAATCATAACGCCATTTTAAAGCTCGTTTCTGTAACAGGCTCCCGCGACCGTCTATGAAACAACGCTGGTTTGACATAGAAAAGAATGGTTGTGTTGTCCCCTTAAACAACGTGCATGTGTTCTAAATCAGATCGAATCTCCTTCGCCTCATGACAACAGCTGGTCACGAGGTAGGAACAGCAATGTGGTTTTCTTAAATGTAATTAAGAAAAGCACGTTCCCACTATAAAACCCAGTGAACCGTCTGCTGCTTCATATTAACTTCACCTCCCATCAGACGAAAACACACATCCTGGGTCTGTCACACACACACACAGCCATGTTTCTAAACAGAGTTGTTTTATGCATCACGGTGATCTTACTGCTGAATGGTGAGTCTTATTCTCATTTCTCTTTTTTGAAACTATAACGAATTTTTAATCAAAAAGTGAAATGAATTGATCCGAAAACATACGCTTCTATTTCCAGTGGTTGAAAACGAGGCCATGTCGTTCCCCTGGTCTTGTCCCACTCTCAGCGGCGTGTGTAGGAAAATTTGCCTGCCAAGTGAAATGTTCTTCGGACCCCTGGGCTGTGGGAAAGGCTTCCAGTGAGTGTAAATGTCTGGATTTTTACTGAGAATAAACACGTGTCTGCTGGAATGTATGACTTTTATGTTGTCATTATTCTCAGGTGCTGCGTTTCTCATTTTCTATGAGGATGGCAGGTCTGGTCTGTCCCTGCAGTCAGAAGACACGTCAAACAGAAGACAACAGGAACGCAGCTCATGGTTTTCTTTTGGTCTTTTTTAAACTATTTTGCCAAGTTTGATGTTGCAATAAAGTACCAGATGAACCTCTCGTTATTTGTGTTTTCTGTTGCTTGAAATAACTTAAACAGACTCTAAGATTTTATTTTAACAATTAATATAAATAAATTGTTCTTTAACTCTTTATTTGAAATGATGAGACAGGAAACACAGTAGCAGTATGATGAGACGTTAAGACCTTCAGGTCTTTGAGTCTCTGAAGCAAAGGAGTAACTCGGTGAGGAGTTTTCTGTTTTAAAGGAACATAAATGTGTGTGTGTGTTTGCGTGCGTGCGTGCGTGTGTGTGTGTGTGTGTGTGTGTGTGTGTGTGCGCGTGTGTGTGTATGTGTGTGTGTGTGTGTGCGCGTGTGTGTGCTTGTCTATACATCAAAGTGAGGGCCAATGACAAGCTTTTTACCTTTTAACCTGTAAACTGAGGTCATCAGTAGCAAAGTGAGGACATTTTGCTGGTCATCACTTTGGTACAATATTGCAGTGATCTAGTTAGTTTTAGAGGTATGGTATGAGTTACGTTTTAGGTAATTCAAAAATGCTCCCAGGGGGAAATTAGAGAAATAAGGTTAGGGTTAGGCTCAATCCAGTCACTGAAAATTAATGGAAGTCAATGTTGATTCTCACAATGAATGTTAGATGAGAATGTGTGTGTGTGTGTGTGTGTGTGTGTGTGTGTACTTGTCTTTTTATGCTTAGGTGGACAAATTCTAACTTTTAACCTGTTGTGTGTGGACATTTTCACATTATGGGGACATTTGGCATGGTCCACACAATGTCAAAATACCCTTGATGTTGCGGGTATGGTGTGTTAGATGTCAGAGGTATGGTGTGAATGAACTTTTGGTTTAGATTAGGATTAGGAATAAAACAGCATTGGTTATGGTTAGGTTTAGGGTATGGGTTAGGCATAGTGGAGTCACAAAAATGAATGGAAGTCAATAAAGGGTCCACACAAGGATACAGAGACAAGTGTGCGTGTGTGTGTGTGTGTGTGTGTGTGTGTGTGTGTGTGTGTGTGTGTGTGTGTGTGTGTGTGTGTGTGTGTGTGTGTGTGTGTGTGTGTGTGTGTGTGTGTGTGTGTGTGTGTGTGTGTGTTAGACTTTGCTGAATCACACAGCTGCAGAATCTGCTCTGGCCCTTAATCCACCTCTGGAACCAGAGTCATTGGCAACTTTTACCCTCGAATGTTTTTAATCTCAAATTCTAAATGAGAGCAGCTTATTCCTGAAGATTTTGGAATTAAGAAATGCTCCGGTTTTCCTAATCAGACTCTGCTGATAACTCCAGCTCTGCTGTTCCAAAGCGAGGGTACACGTGGGACATGCAGAGGAAAGACCATTAGGTGTTCTGATGAAGTATTCAGACAAACAAAAGAAATGTTGCCCACACATGAACTCTGAGACGTTTAGGAGACACATTCAATAATACTCACTTTACAAATGTATCGATTCGTGAGTTTGTGAAGATTTAAATGCTGAAAACAGGTGGCAGAAGAACTCTTTGAAGCGATCCCAACAGTTTGATTTGCAGATGTTATTGAAAATTGAAAAGCATGACTTCTCAGTTGGTCACACTCTCAATTCTCTAGCGGTGTGAGCAGAATGAGGTGGTGGAACACTGACTGGCTGTGGCAAGGTGGAGAAACAAAAATCGACCACCCGGGGGCAGCACTTCATTAGATTTTTCTTCTCTGACTGATTTGTATCTTTATCATTTCCTTCTGGAATCCTGTACATGGATGTTTGACCTGGTAAAATTAATGCAGTAAAACAAGTTTGTCTACAGTTTTATCCATCAGTCTGTTTCCCATTCTAAATCCTGGCTGCTTTCACTTGGATGTGAAGTTTTTTCTTGTTCCCATGCTTTAAAAAGCCAACAATGTTGCAAAATTAAACCGAACCCTAATTTTTCACCCAATTAAAACTTCATCTTAGACTGATTCAAACAACTGATGGTTGTAATGAAGCAACAACTAACTTTGTGGAGATTATCTGACTTCTTCAACAACGTTATAGATTCTGGATCCTCTGTCATTTTTATACTTGTAGAAAATAAAGAATACCCATCATCTTATTAAAAAACATTGTAAAAGTTATTACGACATGCTTTCTAAAACAGAAGTTGTTTTATCACTGCAGAAATTCATCAAAGAGGGGTTCTCTGATGATAAATGATTGTAAAATTATTATGAGTTGATCATTTGCTCCATCTGTAGCTGAAATAATCCTTTAGAGATCAGCTCAGATATTAAAGTTACCAAAAGTTAGAATACAGAAGTCATTAAATGAATTATTGTAATTGTTCAACTCATATTTATGCAAGTAAAGCGTAAATATATTTGGAAAGAACAAAGTAGCACAAGCTTTGATTTTTAATAAGATATTGATGCAACTATTAGGGTTCAACTTGAAGAAGAACAGAAGAATGAAAATAGTTTGGATTTATTAATCAAATTCATTCATTCGTTTTTGTAGGGATGCAGAGCATCCACAGTCGTTCTGCATTACACTTCTCACCACTTGGTGGCGGTAACACACCAACGTCCTATGCGCCAGCTACCAATAAATATAAAGGGGAAGAAGAAGAAGAAAAGAGGAAACACAAACAAACCAAGTCGTAGCGAACCAACTTGAGTTTTTTTTTAACTAACCGTCTAGTTTGTTGAATTTAAGTCGGATAATTAAAACGTTTTTATTCAGCTGACTGATTAAAGTGCTATGTACGCGGGCTACAACTGGGTAGCGACAGTTTAACCCGTAATCTAACCTCAGCTAGCATTAGTTAAAATTCAGCTAACGGGAAAGAACTACTTTTTAAACAATTTTATTTCAGAGTGGACATGATATTTTAGAGAGCAGAGAAAGATTAAGAGAGAAGAAGCTTGGAGATTTAAGTTAGACGAGTAGAGTTTCTCACCCCACCCAGTGTATACATTAGCAGAGTACAAACAAGGTAAGAGCCTTCAGAAAATAAGCTGGAAGCCTGTAGCTAACCTTGATGTTGTTTAACTGGACTTTATGGTTAAATATTGTTTTTTTTTATAATGCAACAAATGTCAGATTCCTCTCTTCAACATAAACCATTAAGAAGAATGCATACAGCTAATCTCAGTGTGGTGGTGCTGGTGAAAACATAATCGTGTCTGATTATTTACCATCAGAAATTTAGAAGCTGCTTTTCCACACTGCACCCACTCACTCTGGATCATTCCTTAACGGTGTTGCCTGTATTTTAATTACATTTTAGCCAAAATTAAATCATAAACTGAAGCAAACAAATGGCGTATCTGTAACTAAACTAATTTTCCGCAAAATGATGGTAAATGTGGAGTTTATTGAAGCATTGATTCTTGTAAAGACGTATTGAGTCTTGCATGTAGTTGACATAATTTCAGGAGCTGTTTTAGTCGATCGAAATGCATCCTCTGTGCAGAATGTATCATCAGTCAGAATAGTAGGATTTACTACAAACACATTATTTGTTGAAGCAAACAAAACAATTGGGAGGCGATTTTTAGGTTTCCAGTGGCTCTCCATAACAATTAGTTCACATGTTGCTCAGCCACTCCCGTCAGCTGTTCGCATTTCTGGTTGTCTTTTTTACACACATTTTTCACTTGAATTGTCTATTTGCAATGCTAATGAAAGTATGTGAACAATTTGCAAACAACATTCATTTTTATTCTTAATCAATCAAGCTTTATTTATAAAGCAGTTTAAACACATGGAACGACCAAAGTGCTGTACATACAGTAGTAAAACCAAATCAATAAAAACATAATGCCAACAATAAAAAGAAATAACAGTAATTCACAAATAATGTCTGCCTATTCATTCAGCCAAGCTAAAAATGTACCATCTGCCAGAGAAGGGATGATGAGAACTAGACTTGTGCTACAGTCAAAGTTTTGCTGTAAAAATCCTGAACAAGAAAGTAAAATAAAAATTCAGACATCTAGAATAAGAACCCACACCCATATATACATGATGTGCTAATGCTGTTAACAAACTGAATAAGAAAATGTAGATCTCAGTTTGAAACCATGTATTTCCTTCAGTTTGAATGCTGTTCACGTCATGAAATATAGTTTTTTTAATATATATATATATATATATTTGTAATTTTAGGGTCTTTTGTGAACACGAGTCTTCTAACAGTCCTTTGCTGATTGTGTACTAGTATGTGATCATCATGTGTCCGTCTTCTATCTTTTCTACTAATTAGTGTGACAAGGAGAAACCACTGATGGCTCCATGTGGTGTGTGGTGGTGGTCTCAGCTAAGTGTCATATGGATTTTCTGCAGCATGTTGGTTCCAGCTCCCACACATGCCTACATATATGTTGTAAGTACAAATTTAGGTTTTAAATTGTACACTTGGATGTTAAATCTATAAAATGCTTCTTATTTCTGTTCTTACTCTATGTGCATGTATTGTTTTAACAGCATTATAACAACATGACCTCCGCTCTGTTTGAGGACCTACCTGCTTTGTTTGGACCTTCACTTCCTAAGGGGGGTTTAACGGTGAGAGCATATTAGAAGATTGCAGGTAAAAACGGAATATTCATTATGTGTAACATTTTTCCTCTTCGACTTTAAAGGGACATCTGGTGGTGGCCAAACCACGTGATGGGTGTACACCGATCAACCCCCCTCCTCCACTGCCAAGTTTTGATGTCAACACCACTAAATTCATTGTTCTCATTGAGCGCCGTGTCTGCAATTTCGATTTAAAGGTCAGTTGTTGAAGATGAAATAATTGGTGTGACATCTGATGCAGACTTTAACATCATGCACCGGTTTCAGGTTTGGCATGCTCAGCAAGCTGGATACGGTGCTGCAGTCGTTCACAATGTAAACTCAGACACTCTCCTCAACATGAACTACAGCAACAGTAAGTGTTATTAAAACATGCATATGAACCATTGAATTCTACACAAAATCGTCCCAGAATGTCTTTTTGTTTTGTTTTATTTGTTAGAAACTCTTGCAGATCAGATTCAGATCCCCTCCGTATTCACCGGCTACTTTGCATCAGAAATGCTCAAGGAAATTATAACGACAGAACCAGGGTGAGAAATTATGTTAAGTATAAAATAAGCAAAACAGAAGCTTTTTTTTTTTTACCATTAGTTTATTATTGTTTTTTTTTCCTCCATGCTTGCAGGGCCATTGTGATCCTTAAACCAGAGTTTGCTTTTCCCATCTCATACTACCTGATTCCCTTTACTGGAGTCGTCGGGATGGTTATTCTTGTGATGTGTGTGATCTTGGTAAGTTTGCTTCCGTTGTCCTTGATATTTTCAAACTATTTTCTTTGAAAAGGTTTTATTTCCAAATGCTTAAACCTGAGTTTTATATAAGTGTGTTTAGTGTTGTGCTTTGACCCTGTGCACTGGTCTTTTCTCCTTTGTGCTGGAACACAATAACCTTATTGTGTTCCAGCTAAGCAGACATAAACAACTGTTGTTCCTTAGCTGCTTTATTTATTCTCTAGATTTGCTTCTTTGATTATTGTTGGGCAGTAAAAATGTTTTTTAAATCACTTTTAAAGAATTTGTGATGGGTTTCTATATAAACACAAAAGTTTTCTACTAAAAGAAGTGTTTCTCTTTTGCTCTATTCAGGTTATACGATGTGTGCAGTACAGGAAAAGGTTGAGGAAGAATCGTTTGACCAAAGATCAACTAAAGCGGATTCCAACACATACGTTTAAGAAAGGTGACACGGCTGTGATGTTTGAATTTAAACTGTGATGTGTTTACAACCACTTTCATCTATCAGCGTTTCTTGCATTTATTTTATTTTCTTTTTTTTGGAAACCATAAAAAGGCCAATCTCAAATTTTCTATACTTGACCCTTTTTTTTTTAAGGGATTTCTCGGACTTTTGAATTTTTATGCTCGCGATTGCCCCCTCAGGCCAAAAGCGTAACGGCAGCTTCAATAGTAGGCTCGTGCACAAGGCGCGCATGCTGTACGTGCACACTCCTTAATGAAAATAACAGCTGAGACAGTCCCGTGTGTGTGTGTGTGGCCCGGAGGACAGAAGACAGGAGAACACACAGCTAATTAATTAAATAATTTGGTTCTGTACCTTTCTCTTCAGCACAGCCGACAAAGGTTTATGATGGGTCAGTCCTCCTGCATGCTCAGATCATTCCTTTCCCTTGCTTGAAAAATTGTTCCAAAATGAAAGTTGAACCCACATCTTTTTATCTGTGAATTCAATGCCGTTCGGCGAGTCTCAAATAAAAATTTTGGGCATCTTACTGTAAAAAAAATAGCATTAATGTAAAAAAGAAACTCTAAATAAACTATGTTCACATCCAGAATCGAACCCCGGTAGTAGCATTCAAGTATCTGTAACTTTTATATCCTTGATGGCACCTGAAACAATGTCAAACCAAAGAACGGTTCGGAGCAAAAATGTCTATTTTGTTGCTAATTTGCAGGAAATATCTAGAAGAAAGTAGCTAAGGGTCCTCAGAAATGTAGCTAGGTTCACCACTAGGCATTAGGAACAGCGACAAAGTCGCTGAGTTGGCACTACCTCACTCTCTGCTGCTAAAGCTACGGATAGCAAATGCTACGGGCGATGCCTGAGCGTGAACGTGCATGAAGCAGCCTGCTCGACCCGAGCAGCTCTCTTTTTCTGTGATTTTACAGAAAAACAGGCAATCACAGTAAAAATGCCAGGGCTCATTCTACAGGACCAGGGCATTGCAGGAGAATGTATGAAGAAGAAATTCATTATTTCTATACATGTTTTGGCTGTCAAACTTCCATAACAATCAATCAGAATCAACTTCATTGTCAATGCCCCAGCGTCCTAAAGCGTAGATATTAGCCTCCGCTGTACAGCCTGACCACATCGAAGTTCCTGTTTTAGTTTTTACTTTCAGATTTTACACATTTTTGTTCATTATAAAAGACATTTATAAATGTAGAACATAGATTTCAATTCCAACCCTCATCTTTGGTCTCTAGCTTTGGGAAGTGACTGAAAGAATGAGAATGTGGATACAATCGGCTTCTCAGCGGGATGTCTGGGCTCTCCCAGATCGGGTGAGAGGCTCAGTAATCCAGTAGCGAATCGGGGAAGATCTGCTGCTCCTCCATATCGAGAGGAGCCAGTTGAGGTGGCTCAAGCATCAGATTAGATCACCTCCCTGGTTAAGTTTTTCCATCACATCCAACCGGGAGGAGACCTAAAGGAAGACCCAGGGCATGATGAAGGGACTACGTTTCTCATCTGGCCCAAGTGGCTGGGGAGAGGGAAGTCTGGGCCTGCTGCCCCCGAATAAGTGGAAGATAGATGGATGGATAGATTTACAAATCTGTACTACAATCCTAAACATTTCTAGAAATGTTGTTTTCAAAGAGTCACAGGAACCTTAATGTTTACAAGCTTCTTCTCTGTGCTGACCTTTTCCACCCAGCCTAAGAGATCTAAAAGATCATAGATGATGCGTGAGCAGCAGGGACTCTTCTGAAACATTTACTGTAATCGAGCAGTCACCAGATGATCTTATTTTCCACTTTCCTATGAAAGCTATGAAAGGGAACAGTAATCTTTACATCAGTTATTCCTGGTCCTCCAGAGCCTCTGCCTGCATGTTTTCTATGTTTCCCTGTGCAAACACACCTGGTTTGAATCTGTGGGTGATGCTAAAAGGTGATTCAATCATCAAATCAGGTTTGAGCAGAGAAACAACTAAAACGTGCAGGGCCAGAATTGCAAGGCTCTGCTTTACAGCTTATTTCTGTATCATTTGCAGGGTTCTGGACATTTGGGCTGCTGTTTTCACACTAAGAAAGCAAATCATTATATTTATTTGTGATGTGAAGTACACTAGCATAATTTATTAGGTATTACACCTAATAACCTGTTTAGTTTAAAATATGTCAGAAAGGGTCCTAACCCAGGCCAGAGTATGTTAATTTAATAGTGAAGGATTTGTAGCTTTTATGGCTGTTGTGAAGATAATTTCTCTAAATGACTTCTCCTGGATTTGCTTTAAGTAGAAGTGGTCTGCTTCGAGGTCCAACTCAGGACTTCCGTTAGCTTGCAGAGCTAAACAGCCACATACGTTTATTCTGGGGAGTGTTGTGTCTGTGGTTCTAAATGATTCCCTTTATGTCTTTGTGAAAAGGATCTTCATATTAACTGCAATCATCGTTTTTATGCTAAAATCTGAACAAAGTGACTGTGGATTAATTATATTTACATATTTGATGGACAAACATCCTTAGAGATCCAGAATGGGAATCGGTCACATTAATTCAAAACTCAGTCATTAAAATCCTGATTTTTCCACTCTGGAAGTTTAAATAGATTATTTACAACTAGAGTTGCAGGGATTGACCGGTTTGACTATTAACCCCGTACCGTAAAGACGTCTCCAACGCCTCCCGTAAAAAACAAAAAGACAATAGCGCGACCTTCACTGACTAAGGCTAAAGTGAAGCTGAACGCAGCAGAAGCAGGTCCAGTGACAACAACCATCGGGACCGTGGAAGTGGTTGAAGTCTTCTGTGTGGGAATATTTGATATATTAGATACATGCCCTCTCCGAATTTTTTAAAAACATCTTGAAACCATCACTGCAGCCCAAAAGTCACTTGTTATGTGTGTGCAGCAGCCTGCTTGGTCGTGTTCATTTGCTGCTTTTCTGTAGGGTTGTGTGATTCCTGAACATTTTCCTGTATTGTAGGAGACGACTATGATGTTTGTGCCATCTGTCTGGACGAGTATGAAGAAGGAGACAAACTGAGAGTTTTACCCTGCTCACACGGTAAAGATTTCTCATTTGTCATCGGCGTGTTTGTGTAAAACCTAAATATGATTATGTATTCAGAAAAGTACACCAAGTACTACTAGATTATAACGGACTTTCTAGGTGTTTTCCTTTGAGGTGACAGCACACGTTTCAGTCATCTACTCTCAGTGAAGTGTTTGTTTCTTCATCTTTGTTGTAGTTGATAAAGCTTCTTATGCGTTTTGACCTTTTTCTGAGTTTTGTGAAATCCGTCTGGTTTCTCAGCGTACCACAGCAAGTGTGTGGACCCGTGGCTCACCCAGAACAAGAAGACATGTCCTGTGTGCAAACAGCGAGTGATCCAGAATAACCCGGAGCACTCAGAGTCAGATTCTGAGGAGGAAGGGGCAGGACGCAGAGATGAGGAAGGAACTGATGGCGAAGCTGACTCAGAGCGCACTCCTTTGCTCCGGCCCTCCAACCCCGGGTCCCCTTCAGGGAGCCCAGTGGCCTATTCAGCCACCACCACCGCCGCCCAGTGTCTGGTGTCTCCTGCTCGCAGCTCACCCATCCTGGGCTACCAGGGCTACTACTCTCCTCAGGAGGACACAGACTCAGAAAGTGGCGACGCAGGAGATGACCGGCACCACAGTGATGATGACACGGTTCATCTCATTGGTAGGAACCGAGTCGATGCCTGAACTTAGCTGTAGTGAAGTTAGCCTGTTGTTCACTTTAAAGGAAACGAGAGAGGGTTTTCCTGCCTACAAATGTGCTGTAAAGTTATTTACTTTCAACAATCAGCTAGACCTTTAGACTTCCACAGCGGCTGATTGTTTTTTTTTTTTTTATCCAATAACCAGACACCAGAGGTCTACGTTGTAGTGTCAAAGCGGGAGTCGGTGTAATTTGTTTGATCAAAGTCCAAAAGAATCACTCCCCTTCATAATCGCTCTTGTGCTCATATCTGTAGATGCTTTTGTTGCATGCTCTAAATTGTGACCCAACATGACCCGACCACTAGTGCTGCACAACTTTAGGAACCAGTAAGGTTTATTTTATTAGGTAAGAGCGTAACTCTAGATGAGGTCTCTACACGGAAGGCTCTGATTGTTTCAGTTATATTTTTATTCCAGTTTTAAGTAAACTAACAGGATGTACACGCGGGTAGGGGGGATCTTTGTCTTTGCTTTTGTTTTGTGCTTTTTTCCACAGAGTATTTCTGAGATTTTACTGCTGCTTTTACGTTGTTGCTGAAATCGGTGAAGGTAGGATTTTAGCTTGATGTAGTTTGTAAGTTTGAATAAACTCAGGTTTAGGTCAGAAGGTCAGTTTGAAATGGTAAGTGAAGAACCAAGTAAGGAAATTATTAGCTTTGATCCTTTAAATTGTTTTAGTTTCTCTTGGGAACCTCTGTGTTTTTAGGACAAGGTGCATTGCCTTACACTGACCTGAAACTTCGCATTTAATGTTTTAATCTGAAGACAAGAAAGGCACTCCTTCCTTTTATTTTATGTCTCGTTCTCCATGCCTGAGAGTTAGCTCGTTTCCATGGGTCTGGTGTTAGTAACGGGATTGTGATTTGGACATTAACAAGCTCAGCACCAGAGTAACTGATGATTTGGGCGTCGTCTGTAAATTGAAATGATCATTTTTGTGAAAAGCAGCAAACGTTGTAAGCCTTTAAAATGATTTTGCTGCTCAAAAGTTATGAATGTTTTATGGATTAATTAATTTTGTCTTCAGACGCCCACGCAGAGGTTGTTTTAGATTAATCCAGTCTGGCGAACTCTGAGGTAACATTTTTACTTTCCCTCTTTTTTAAAGAGATCCAGTGCAATTTATTTCTCTCCCATTTGATAAAATAGGTCAATAAAACATATCAGAATGGAGACAAATCTCACAAAGCACCGCTACTTTATAAAAGAGACAACACTGAGCAGGATTTACACAAAGTTTGTGTTAGGGGATTAATTCACTGTTAGAATGCAAAAAAACTCAATTCCTTTATGTTTGACCTCAGATTGACCCCATACTTGGTTGATTGTGACCTGTTGGCAATATACTGTATTATACAACACAACAGCTGTTTTTATATGAACACACCTTAATTATTTTGTACTGTACCTTTTTTTATTTCTCAGCTTATTAAACTGTTGACAGGAACAAAAGGAAAAATCCCACTTAAATAATCCTCATACGAAACTTTCTTCTTTCTTTTAGAACGTGCCTATAGGTCATCCAACAGTACACGTACAGAGTAACTTTCATTATAAAATAAGAGTCTATAGGGTGTCTTCAGTGTATTATTCATGGAAGGTTAAGTGACATTAAAATGGGACTGTGTTGCCATATGATGACGTTTATGTATTTGTTCTTTATAAATGTTTATTGACACACATAATACTTGATAATAAAGCCACAATAAATAGATGTCATTAGCAGTGTGATATTTATTTCATTTTCACCATCATTATAGTAGATTTTTATATATTCATAATTTTGTGTATGTGTTTTTTCCCAAAGCACCAACCTAGAAAATGAACCAGTGTTGTGTTTACACAATTAAACCATTTAGAATTAAATTAATTTACTATCTACACTCACCTAAAGAATTAGTAGGAGCACCACAGTTGTACAGTGTTTTACCCCCTTCGCCTTCAGAACTGCCTTAATTCTACATGGCATTGATTCAACAAGGTGCTGAAAGCATCCTTTAGAAATGTTGGCCCATATTGATAGGATATCATCTTGCAGTTGATGGAGATTTGTGGGATGCACATCCAGGTCACCAAGCTCCCGTTCCACCACATCCCAAAGATGCTTTATTGGGTTGAGATCTGGTGACTGTGGGGGCCGTTGTAGTACAGTGAACTCATTGTCATGTTCAAGAAACCATTTCAAATGATTGGAGCTTTATGACATGGTGCATTATCCTGCTGGAAGTAGCCATCAGAGGATGGGTACATGGTGGTCATGAAGGGATGGACATGGTCAGAAACAATGCTCAGGTAGCCCGTGGCATTTAAACCATGCCCAGTTGGCATTAAGGGGCCTAAGGTGTGCCAAGAAAACATCCCCCACACCATTAAACCACCACCAGCAGCCTGCACAGTGGTAGCAAGGCATGATGGATCCATGTTCTCATTCTTCGTCTTCGTCTTCGTCTTCCTCCGCTTATCCGGGTCCGGGTCGCGGGGGCAGCATCCCAACTAGGGAGCTCCAGGCCGTCCTCTCCCCGGCCTTGTCCACCAGCTCCTCCGGCAGGACCCCAAGGCGTTCCCGGACCAGATTGGAGATGTAACCTCTCCAACGTGTCCTGGGTCGACCCGGGGGCCTTCTGCCGGCAGGACATGCCCGAAACACCTCCCCGGGGAGGCGTCCAGGAGGCATCCTGACCAGATGCCCAAACCACCTCAACTGGCTCCTTTCGATCCGGAGGAGCAGCGGTTCTACTCCGAGTCCCTCCCGAATGTCCGAGCTCCTCACCCTATCTCTAAGGCTGAGCCCGGCCACCCTACGGAGGAAACTCATTTCGGCCGCTTGTATCCGCGATCTCGTTCTTTCGGTCATTACCCAAAGCTCATGACCATAGGTTCTCATTCTGTTTACGCCAAATTCTGACTCTACCATTTTAATGTCAACAGAAATCCAGACTCATCAGACCAGACAACATTTTTCCAGTCTTCAACTGTCCAATTTTGGTGAGCTCGTGCAAATTGTAGCTTTTTTCCTATTTGTAGTGGAGATGAGTGGTACCCGGCAGGGTCTTCTGCTGTTGTAGCCCATCCGCCTCAAGGTTGTGTGTGTTGTGGCTTCACAAACGCTTTGCTGCATTCCTCGGTTGTAACGAGTGCTTATTTCAGTCAAAGCTGCTCTTCTATCAGCTTGAATCAGTCGGCCCATTCTCCTCTGACCTCTAGCATCAACAAGGCATTTTCGCCCACAGGACTGCCGCATACTGGATGTTTTTCCCTTTACGCACAATTCTTTGTAAACCCTAGAAATGGTTGTGTGTGAAAATCCCAGTAACTGAGCAGATTGTGAAATACTCAGACCGGCCCGTCTGGCACCAACAACTATGCCACGCTCTAAATAGCTTAAATCCCCTTTCTTTCCCATTCTGACATTCAGTTTGGAGTTCAGGAGATTGTCTTGACCAGGACCACACCCCTAAATGCACTGAAGCAACTGCCATGTGATTGGTTGATTAGATAATTCTATTAGGGAGAAGTTGAACAGCTGTTCCTAATAATCCTTTGGGTGAGTGTAATTAATAAAGTATTTTTGAATTGAATTGAATGTATATATATATATATATATATACACACACACACACATACATATATATATATACACACACACACACACACACACATATATATATATATATATATATATATATATATATATATATATATATATATATATATATATATATATATAGGTAATATATATATAGGTATCAATCAATTTCCCTCTGGGATTAATAAAGTATTTTTGAATTGAATTGAATGTATATATATATATATATATATGTATATATGTATATGTATATATATATATATGTATATGTATATATGTATATATATATGTATATGTATATATATATATGTATATATATATATATATATATATATATATATATATATATATATATATATATATAGCAGATATCTAAGAGTCAGCCTCTGTGTGGAATGGCTTCTGGAAAATCACCAGCTACAAACCCAAATCCCCGCCTCCACTGATAACCTGCTCCTGGCCAACAGTTTAAACAACTTCTATTGTCGTTTCGATGAGCCACCAAGCAGGTCTCACACCTCCAACAATAGTATCACCAAGTTCATCCATCCCCCCCACTCCTGAGCTACCATCAACACTGTGGAACCCACCCATAAGACCCTCCTCCTCACCCCATATCACACACACCTCCACCACAGCCTTGTACATTCATGAGGCAGATGTAAGGAAGCAATTCCAAGACTCTAAACGCACGGAAAGCCCCGGCCCTGATGGCGTGTCTCCTGCCACTCTAAAGCCCTGTGATGTAGAGTTGGCCCAGTGTTTATGGGCATTTTCAGCTCCTCACTAGAAGCATCTCATGTGCTCGTCTGCTTCAAGATCTCCACCATAGTCCCTGTCCCCAAGAAGCCAAGGATCACTGGACTCAATGACTACAGACCAGTGGCTCTAACATCTGTGGTCATGAAGTCATCTGGGCACCTGGTTCTCCCCCACCTCAAGACCCTCATCCCCCCCCCCCCCCCCCCCCCCCACCGGACCCTCTGCAGTTTGCCTACAGAGACAACAGGTCTGTAGATGATACAGTCGACATGGCTCTACACTTCATCCGGCAGCATCTGGACTCCTTGGATACCTATGCCAGGATCCTGTTTCTGGACTTCAGCTCTGCCTTCCACACAATCCTCCCAGACCTCCTCCAAGACAAACTGCCCCAGATGAACGTGCCTGACTCCATCTGCAGGTGGATCACCGACTTCCTGACGGACAGGAAGCAGCACGTGAGGCTGGGGAAAAATGTCTCGGGCCTGCGGGCCATCAGCACCGGTTCCCCTCGGGGTTGTGTTCTCTCCCCTCTGCTCTTCTCCCTGAACACCAACAGCTGCACCTCCAACCACAAATCTGTCAAGCTTATCAAGTTTGCAGATGACGACACCGTCATTGAACTCATCTCTGACGGGGATGAGTCTGCCTACAGAATGGAGGTCAAATGGCCGGTGTCCTGGTGCAGCCACAACAACCTGGTGCTAAACACCCAGAAGACAGAGGAGGCTGTTGTGGACTTCAGGAAGTACACGGCGCCCCTTCCCCCATAACCCTGTCTGACACTCCCATCACGATGGTGGACTCATGTCACTTCCTGGGTACCACCATCACCCAGGGCCTCAAGTAGGAACCCACCATCACCTCCATCATAAAAAGGCCCAGCAGAGGATGAACTTCCTGAGGCAGCTGAAGAAATTCAACCTACCAGTACAGTTGATGAGGCAGTTCTACACCGCAGTCATCAAGTCCATCCTCACCTCTTCAATCAACATGTGGTATGGTGGAGCCACCTTCAGGGAAATGAAAAGTCTGCCGTGTGTTGTGTGCTCTGCTGAGAAGGTCACTGGCTGCTAACTCCCCTCCATACAGGACCTGGACACCTCCAGGACATTGAGGCGAGCAGATCGGATGACCCGTCTCACCCTGGACACAGTCTCATCGACTCGCTCCCATCTGGCTGGAGACTCTGATCCATTCGGACTAGAACTTCTCATTACAAAGACAGTTTCTTCCCCTCTGCTGTCAGACTCATGAACGACAATCGTAGAACTGTCCACTCCAGCTGCTTTGTTTCAGTCACATGACCCTAGTGTTGTGTTTGCACCTGAACTGACCCGCTCTGACCAGTACCCACACTGACTTGTATAAAGTAGCTGCTACTCTAATTATTGCCTCCCTACATTATTATCATTTCATTGTGTTTATTTCTTAATTCTAATTTTTCTTACCATTTATCTTTTCTTGCACCAAAAGTACCGCAGCTATTTCCTAATGTTGTGATTTTTGCACACATGGCAATAAAACCTTTCTGAATCTGATCTCTTAAGCTCACAAATCCTCCACACCCAGTGCAGAAACGTTGTTCCCATTTCATTAACTTAATAGATTAAATAAAAACTGTTTATTCTGCTGACGAAAAATTTCAGAAGATCCCTAAAAACTTTGGAAATACACAATTGCACAATTGGCTAATTGAGTAATTCCAGCTCCTTTGAAATGAAATCTAAACAAATGGTTGAAGATTTCTCCTCTGAGCTTCTTAATTAAAGTTATTTTATTTTAACTCAAGTAGAGTTGAGCTTTGGTCAGGATGTGGCAGATCCAGCAGGAGAAAAGCTAATGAGGAACCACAGCCTACATTTAGTGAACTTTATAAAACCGTTGAGCTTCTGATGTAGTTTTATTTTCATTCAAGTCTGAAACCGAACAAGTTACAGGTAGTATCATTATTAAAATCATTCAAACAGAAATGACTCATAAAAACCTACTAATTAATTTCTGATTATATTAGACTGAAGTAATTAGAGCCTGTATTACCTGCTGGATTAACTGTTCCTGGTTCTCATACATGAACCTCGCACTGCACAAGTTTTGCTTGAAAACATCTGATTGTGACATTTTTAAGCATTGTTTTAATTTTGATGCTAAATCATTTATGAAAGTATGAATGTTTAGACATACTGAACACAAGCTTAATAGCATTAATAGCGAAGTAAATAAAAAAAACATTTAAAAGGCATCAATTATGTATAAACATTTTAATTCAATTAGGAAGTTTCCATAAGGTGAAGAATCCACTCCATACCAGGCGGGGGCGCTAGTGTCACCTGTCTGTGACAGGTTACCCAAGGGGGAAAACGGTAAGGCTAACAACGGGGGAACGCGCTAATTCAAACAATTAATTCATTTTGAGGTATTGGGGTGCCTTCTTTTTCTGCATTTCATTTTTAACCTTCTGTTAAGCCAAAATTAAAGCAAATATGATCTTATTATCAATAGAAGTATTGAAAGCTATGTTGATTTTAGCCTGCTCCCGCCAGGAGAGTGTTAGCATTTGCTAGCAGTTTCCCCGTTAGGCTAAACAGTTATCTTTTTATTGTTCCTTAGTCCTTATTTTCTATATTTGTATCGCAACAGATTTGACGACTTGCTTGTCCCAGTTAATACGTCTTAAATTATTTTAGGATTGTTTTGCCATTCCCAAAGCAAGTTAGGACGAGCCGTGTGATTTACAGGCCTATTCGTGTTCGTAGTTTCTCCTTTAGAAGTAGTTCCTTCATGTCTGTTCAATTTTGATTATCATTGTAAAAAACCGTTAATGTCTTTTAGGATGGTGCTAATTAAAGCTGAGGGACTCACATCTCTGTTAGAGATGTGGCAGGCCATTATCACAAACATTCGCTTCAGTGAACTGAATGTTGTAAATCTTTGTTATAATACAATGCCATTCATTCATGTATATAATGATAAAGCACACTTATTCTCAGTGTGCAATATTATAACCTTCCAATTAAAATAAGGTCCTAAATGCTCCCGCATTGTTTTAGGTCTGTTTCTCACAAACGGGCAGGAAAAAAAAGGTATAAAGAGGTAAAGCAGCCACTCTTGGCATATTTAAAGATTAGAATGCCTGAAATGAAAACTAAAAGGTGCATTATTTAAAAAGCATTTATGTATATAATTACTTTGGGTAAATTGCCTAGTGGAAGCTATTTTAATGCCAAAACACCATTACAGATTGATACTGACGAGGATACGAGTTTGTATTTTCTGATTTAGGATGTCTAACCATTATACAAGATTTTACTCATTATAATTGTGAACCAGTCTCTTTTTAAAGTGAGTCACGTCATAAAACTACCCAAGTTGCCATTCTAATGTGAAACCTTGCTGCATCTTTCATTCGTTCCTCCGCTGGAGATGGGAGACAGTGATGATGAGTACGATCGCAGGAGAAGGGACAAATTCAGACGAGAGAGGAGTGATTATGATCGTTCAAGAGAACGAGAGGACCGACGCAGAGATGACTGGAATGACAGGTAAAAAAATGTAGTTATGCATAATCTAAATATAAAATACAGAGCCTATCTTACGTTGGATGTAAAGAATATGATTATTTTTCCTAACACCACAGGGAATGGGATAGGGGCAGGGACCGCCGTAGCCGCGGGGAATACCGGGATTATGATCGAGGTCGAAGAGAGAGGTTTACCCCACCCAGGCACGACATGAGTCCACAGCAGAAACGCATGAGAAGAGACTGGTAAGACCATGAAAACAGATACTCATTTTCCTATTTGTTTGTTGTTTTAATCCACTTTTTTTATTTGTTGGCAGGGATGATCATAGTGGAGACCCATACCGTGGGGGGTATGACTTGGGATTTGGCGGTGGGGGGCCAAGCTATGGCCCGCCGCAGCACTGGGGCCACCCCGACCTGCACCTCATGCAGCCGCATCAGGGCATCCCCATTCAGGCTCGGTGAGGAAAACGTGATAAGCTTTTACGTTGCTGGGAGTTTTTTTTAACACAATTATTGGTTATATTTGATTTCTTTTTCTAACAAATTGCTCAACAAAACAGTGTGAGGTGGAATCAAGTCTTTATTGATTAGTCTCTTCTCTAAATGAGAGCAGAATCACCCAACACTCCCATCTTTTATTAGGCTTGGTAACATCCATGACTTGGATTTGGGTCCCCCCCCACCAATAATGAAGAGCTTCAAGGAGTTCCTGATTTCCTTGGATGATTCTGTCGATGAGACAGAAGCAGTCAAACGCTACAACGAGTACAAGATCGACTTCCGTCGGCAGCAGATGCAGGACTTCTTTTTGGCTCACAAAGAAGAAGAGTGGTACGATCTGAGCGGCCTTTTCTACCTACATCCTCTCATTTCACTGAAGTATCATAACAAGTATTGCTTTAGATATTTATTTGGAAAATATGTAGATTTAACAGAAATGTTACGTATTTGCCTTTAAACCAAAGACAGGAGAACATGGCACATTCACCTAAAACATTTAGAGCATCAGGCTGCTTGGTGTTATCTGACATTTCCAATGAACACACACTCGCACACACACCGATATCAGTGATTTTTATTAAAAGGAGATAGTTTTTAACATCTGCTTGTATTTTTGACAAGATTTTGTTCAAGATCATGTGAAATGAAAATGAGATTTTAATTGATTTTTCTGTTTGACATCATACAGTTCACAATTGTATATTGTCTTTTAATTCCACAGGTGTCAGTGCACAAAAAGTTCCTTTTTGACTTAACCCATTCTTCTTGCCTTCACTTCTACTTCCATGTAGACGACGAGTTTTTTTCCCCCCCAGATGAGCAAAAGCTGGACTCACCCGCTCGAGTCGGTGTTAGATAGCGAGGGCATGCGCTGCGCACAATGCAGTTGCTCTTAGAAACAAAGTATCAGGGATTTTAGATAGACAGCCATCTAGTCCTCCACACATGGAGGATTTTTTTCCCGTTTTATGCTTTTTCTGCATCGTTTTCTTTTTATATTTGGATCAGATCGAATCCCAAAACCGAATTTGTGTGTACAGACACACCACTGGGGTGAAGTGGAGCACAATTTGACAGAAGAGACCCCCTCCCTCTGTGTAATTATTTGTTATTAAACTGGCTGAGCAAAAGGTAACTGGTGTCCACTCAATGATAAACATTTTTCATTTTACAATATTGCTATGTGAATGTTTGCTTTTGAAGTTTGTGCTTTTTCCTGATGTTTCCGGTAAGTTAAATTCTATTGTTGATGTAAAAGAGCAAGCATAATCAGGCTCTTCAGACCACACATGACATAAATTCATGCTTTTACATAAAAATTCTTCCTGCTTTAATTTAAATGTCTCCTAACCAACAACCCAGTAACCAGTTGGTTGAAAATCTGATAAGAAAATCAAATTGTTACATTTTCTCTGGATATTTTTATGACATGAAAGATGTGACTTAGATGTTCTGTATCCGTTTCTTTAGTAACTTTTGCATCCTGCCCATCCCAACCCCTGTCTTTCCCTCCCTGCTCTTCTGTGGATCCAAACTCCAAATGCAGGTTCCGGTCCAAATATCACCCGGATGAGTCCAGCCAGCTGAAGGCAGAGGCTCAGAGCGCCCTACACAACCGTCTGCATGTCTTCACGTTCCTGCTGGAGAACTCCTGGTTTGATAATGTGTCCCTGGACATTGAGCAGGCTCCAAACATCATCAGGGTTCTGGATGCTGGTGAGGCCTCAGATGGTTGAGGATGACCTGGTACTTTCTTCAGTTTTCACAATAACAACACAACTTCTCATTTCCCCTCAGCTGTGATAAAGATGGAAGGAGGGACTGATCACGATCTTCGTATTTTGGACATGCCGCCTGAGGAGGAGGAGGACCGTGAGAAGTCTGCATCAGCTTCAGCGGGAGCTGAACCTCCAAAGAAGGAAGACATCAAAACATTAGCTGGTGACGGCAAACCCTTAGTGGAAAAAGACCAAACTGAAAAGGTACGTAATGTTTTCTGCTATTCAGACGGTAAAACTTTTAAAGTAGCCATGATTATGACCGTGACCTGGGTCACAGGAGGAAACAGATTCTGCTGGTGCAGACAGGGAGGTCACAGCAGACAGAGACGACATAAAAGAGGAGGGAGAAAAGGAAGCTGTCAAAGAAGAAATGCCTGAACCCAAAAAGGTTGGTGTTTCTGTTGAAATCTAATTACTTTCTAGACGAAGAACTTACCCAGATAGTTCTGAGGGCTCTTGTTTCATTTGCCAGGCAAGAAGAAAGAGGAAACGTAGCGAGGACAGCGATGATGAAGCCAGCGCCTCTGAGAGTGACTCCGATTCAGACTCCAACTCCAACTGCTCCGATAAACCTGCCAAGAAGGAGGAAGTAGAGGAGAAAGACGAGGAGGAAGAGGAAGGAGATGGTGAATGTGAAGGTGAAGCATCAAATTCAGAATTACGCATTTTACAGGTGTTCTGAATGTTAACAAGTTTAAAATCAGAAGGTGAATGATTTGCTATCTGATGTCCTAGAAGAGAAACCAAAGTCTGAGGAGGAGGAGGAAGAGGAGGAGCAGAAGGAGGAGAAGAAGCCTAAAGACGACACTCCTAGACCACGGCCGCTGCACAAGACTTGTTCTCTGTTCATGAGAAGTATCGCTCCGACGATCTCCAAGGCTGAAATAGTTGCTGTGAGTTTGGTCAGATCAGATGTTATCTGTCACCTAAGAGCTGCACTGCAGACTTTACATCATTTTCATTTATTTATCTGTTGTTTTTGGGTTTGCAGCTTTGTCGACGGTATCCTGGTTTCCTGCGTGTTTGCTTGTCTGATCCTCACCCAGAGCGCAGGTTGGTTAGAAGGACCTTGTCTTTATTTACTGTTTCAGAGTGAGCTCCATCATTTTATGAAAGCTCCTATCATGTAACGACAGACGCCACTGAGCAAAGGTGTTTCAGTGAAACGGGTCCTTTTTCAGGTTTTTCAGACGTTGCTGGGTGACCTTTGACCGTAGCGTCAACATCAAAGAAATCTGTTGGAACCTTCAGAACATTCGTGTAAGTGTCCAGCGCTAATGTTTTTCACCTGTTAAATGACTTCTGTAACGTTTTCTATGTTTCAGAGCTGCAGTAAAAACTGATCATTGACACATTTTTCATGAAACCCTTTAAAACAGCCACTGAAACATTTCAAACATACATTTTCTCTCGGTTCTGAACAGCTGCGGGACTGTGAGCTGGCACCAGGGGTGAACAGAGACCTGGCGCGGAGAGTGCGGAATGTTAATGGCATCACTCAGCACAAGCAGGTGCTCCGCAACGACATCAAGCTAGCTGCCAAGCTCATTCATGCTTTAGATGAGAAGGGCTACCTGTGGAGCAACAAAACCCAGGAGGAAGGGCCAAACGCTGAGGTAATGTGTGTGTGCGTGTGTGCGCACGCACACAAGCAAATTGTGAGCTAGCATTGTGATTTTGCACTACTTGGATGTAGCCGTCCTTACGCTGACCAAAATGTAACTAAGTAACTTTTACTTTAAGTACATTTTATTTACGATACTTTTAACTTTTACTTGAGTAAACATTTTGGCAAGTACTTTTACTTGTACTTGAGTAAAAAATTATCAAAGTATTGGTACTCATACATAAGTCATACATAAGTAGGAAATTTTAGTACTCTTTCCACCTCGTGTGTGTGTGTGTGTGTGTGTGTGTGTGTGTGTGTGTGTGTGTGTGTGTGTGTGTGTGTGTGTGTGTGTGTGTGTGTGTGTGTGTGTGTGTGTGTGTGTGTGTGTGTGTGTGTGTGTGTGTGTGTGTGTGTGACTAAATCCCATGTTTTTCTCTAAAAGTTGCCCGCTCAGAACCCGATCTTGAAGAATATCACTGATTACCTGATAGAGGAGGTGAGTGCTGAGGAGGAGGAGCTCCTGGGCTCGGGGAGTGGAATGGATACCGAGGAGAATCCGAAGGAGGGAAACGCAGCAGAGATGACCGTGGAGAAGGATGAGAAACTGGCCAAGGTTTCCTCTTTATTCTGTCATTTATAAACGGCACAGTTCCAGATGCATCTTTGTAATTTGGGGTTGTGGTTTTTGCTTTGGTGGATAAAAGTCAAGTCAGGCTTTCGTATTTCTGGTCTGTTTTCTCAGGTTTTGGACCGTCTGGTTTTGTATCTGCGGATCGTTCATTCAGTCGACTACTACAACACCTGTGAATACCCGAGCGAGGATGAAATGCCCAACCGCTGCGGCATGATTCATGTTCGTGGACCGATACCCCCCAACCGCATCACACAAGGAGAGGGTCAGTGGCTGTTGTGCCTCAGATAGATGTCAGGAAGATGGTACATGCTGTGAAACTACCTCATTGCTACTTTACTACAGCAGCACCAGTTGTAGAGTTTCACCACTAGGTGGCACGATTACCTCCCACACACGCATTTCTCACAGCAGCATTTCTAAAAATTCTTTCTCTGGCACTTATTTAGTCCATATCTGCTTTTTTCTTCATAAACAGTGCAACAGTGGCAGAAGATGATGGAGGAGAAGCTGACTCCTTTGTTTAGCTTAAAAGAAGTCCTGTCTGAGGCCGAGGCAACAAAGATGGGTCGTAAGGATCCGGAGGAGGAGGTGGAGAAGTTTGTGTCTGCCAACACTCAAGAGCTGGGAAAAGACAAGTGGCTCTGTCCTCTCAGCGGCAAGAAATTCAAGGTGAGTGTTTAAGAACATAAAATGTTAGGAACGAGAACTTAAAACAAAAAAGTTTAATAAGCTTTGCTGTCTGTTGAGCTGACACGTGGTTTTTAGACGGGGTATCCGCGGGTCCGTAAAAAGTCTTACATTTGCTTTTCCAAGTTTAAGGCCTTGAAAATCCTTAAAAATGACAAATAATCCTTAGAGTTTCCAAAGGTCTTAAATGACCAAAGACCCAATAAGCAAGATTATTTTATTTCTATAAACTTTTTGTGTACGATGTTGGCATAAGCGGAATCGTACACATTCAGTTGGTTGTGAAAGGGGACTATTTTCAGATGAGCACATTAGCTGGTTAAGCTAGTGGGAGCTTGTGCCATGGGGAAGTGCAAGTTTAATGGTAACTGGATGGCTAATTCCACGTTCGTGACGTGGTTAGCACCGGTTCCAGGCAATAGCTAGAAATTATAGCTTAAATTTAATTATAAAAATAGCTTAAATTTGGTCAAAGTGGCCTTAAAAAAGGCATTAAAGTATTAAATTTGGCTCCCTTAAACCTGCAGATACCCTGTTAGAGCACTTACTGCTTTTTGTTTATTTAAAATCAATTTTAAGGGTCCAGAGTTTGTGCGAAAGCACATCCTGAACAAACATGGGGACAAAATCAAAGAAGTTAAAAAGGAAGTGGTCTTTTTCAACAACTTCCTGATGGATGCCAAGAGACCGTCACTACCAGAGCTAAAACCTCCACCACCTCCTGCTCCGGGGCAAGGTTCTCACATTTCTTTCTGACTGAGTAAAACGGAGCACTGGGAATGAAGAGTAATGATGAGCAGCATTTTACGTTTTGTTTCCCACACAGGTTTGCTTTCCCCGATTTTGCCTTTTCCTCCTCAGGGTCCGATGGGCTTTGGTCAGCCTCGTCCCCCACTGATGGGCTACGGTGAAGTTCTGTTTCTGGTGTTCTGATTGTTTCTCAACCAGACGTCATCCTATTCATGTAATGTATTTTTTATTTTTATTTTATTTCAGGTGGCCCTCCTTACCCGCCTAATCAATATGGAGGAGGCAGAGGAAACAACAACAACTTCCGTGGTCAAGGTGGCTACCTGGGTAAGCCACGCAACATCAGGTAAGACAGGTGATTTTCATTTTTCCTTTATTCATTTTGAATTTTCTACTTTTAGGAAATCGGAAACTTTTTTGAAAGGATATTTCTGCTTTTTTTTTTTTCTTTCTTCACTATCATTTGCTCCTCTAACCCTGAACCGTCTCAGGATGTCACGAGGGGATCCACGTAACATCATCGAGTACCGTGACCTGGACGCACCAGATGATGTCGACTTCTTCTAGAAGCTTCAGTGTTACCATCACTTACCATCACTCCTGACCAGTGTTCTGTTCATTCTGATTTTTGTAGTATTAAGTTTGTTTTTTCCTGTTTCATTTTGTTATGGTTGTGCAACTAGGAGACTTTCTGTGTTGCTGTACACTGGTTCATCAATAAAGTTGTGAAATTTCACAGTTTGTTTTTAATTCTGATGCTGGTCTGTTTAAACAGCCAGTAGAATCTGACCTCAGTACCGATGAAGTTCCTCCACTGCATACATCTTTCTTAGAGTTTAAGAGTTCACAATCAGGGCCAGAGGTGGACTAGAGGACAGGTACAAGGCACTTTTCAGTTTACTTGAATTTCCCAACTAAAAAAAAACATTTTCATGCACATGACCCTGGTGATTTGCAAACTAAGTCAACGATAATACAATTTATTATTTTAACTGAATGTTTTCATTTTTATTGTCATGATCACAAACGCATGCTAAAGGGTTTTGTAAATGTCAACAGATCTGATCTGACTTTCACATAATGTAATGATACGAGCTGCAGAGTTTTGAACCAGTTCAAGTTAGTTGCCAGAACTTCTTTGGCAAACCAAAGAGGAGGGAATTAAAGTAGTCCACGCGATAAGTGGCGGCTATTTACTTAGAAGGTGGTGGCGTTATTATAGAGTGACGAGTGCAGGCGATTAATTTCAAAGGTGATAGTAGGCTGAGCAGGTAAGTGCATTGTTATGTGAATGGTAGGAAAGTGTACTGTCTAGATTACACCAAAGTTTTTTTTTAATCTTGTCCAAGTGGGCAACTGTAGTGTTCTTAATAGCCAATGAGAAGGTTCCAGCTTTGTTTTGTACCAAGAAGGAGGACCTCTGTTTCACTGGAGTTCAGCTTAAGGAAACTAATCTGATATGCAGTTAATGAGTGAAAGAGGTGGGGAAAGAAAAGACTGAATGCTGGAAACATGAATTTAAGCATAACTGATGGTTGATGTTACATTTTCTAAAAATAGACCCCAGAGGGAGTAAATGATAAATAGTAATGGGATGAGGACAGAACCTTGAGGAATGCCAGTGGTTACATCAGTATGAAAATAAACGTTTTCATCTGAATGAACTGGCTTTTGTCTGTTACATTTAATTAGGCTCGGAAAAGCTTTTCAGGATAATTTTGTCAATAGTAAACTGACAGATGGTGTCAGACGCTGCACTCGATCATGAGAACGAGGATGGTGTTTAGACCAGAATCTGCTGCAATTAAGAGATCTTTTGTTATTTTAGTCTGAGCTGTTTCAGTGCTGTCATGCTGATTGAAACTGTTGGAGGAAAGATGTTGATGAAGCTGCAAAGCTATCGTTTGTTTTTTTTAAATGAAAGAAAGGTTAGAGATCGTTTAAAGTTATTTAGGTCACTAGGGTCAGCTCCAGTTTTTTTTTTTTTCAACATAGGGTGATGCAGTTTTCAGAGGCTGATGGGCAATACCAGTAGAAAGTGAAGACTGAATAATGGATACAATGAGAGGAGCCAAGGCCGGAAGGCAGGTGGAGGATTTGGAATCACGGATAAGATCCATGATTTCCGAGGTAGATGGGAGTGAGAATAAGCCAGAAAAAAGGACTCGTCTAGAAAACAGACATCAGTGATCAGAGTCATTGGACCCAGACTGAGATGAATTGTTTGAATTTTTTCATTAGAAAATTACAAGAGAATTACTAAACTCTTCTGAGTAGCAATGGGACGGTAAGGAACCGGGAGGACTTGTTAAGCAGAGAGAACAGAGTTTTAGAGTCACCCTTGAGGGAGATGCTACATGACTGAGGAAGAAAGATTTACCCAAATACCACAAATTTATTTAAGAACCCAAAACACTGACAGGGTGGAGTGGTCATCAGACACATAGAAATTACAGTTACTGTATTATATTTAATAAATCACCTTATTATATACAGATTTATTTAGGTTCATCTTTGAGAAGTTTCTTCATAAAACTGCAGCCACCAGCAGAAAAGTTCTGAAATTTTCTTTAAATTTCCCCCCAAAACTTACTGAAAATACACAGAGTGTCCTAGCAATAAAAAGGTTCAGAAACCAGCATAAAGTTAAATCTTGCAATTAAAAAAAAAATAAAATTGTGGTCAGTCCCATCACACCTCTTTCCCATAATGGGAAAAACACAAATGTGAAGCATTTATAGATTTGTATTCTTGCAAAGTGGTTTTACTCTTCTCAGCCAAGGCCTCTTGGTAGATTTGCATGTCAACTTTCACAAAACTTGCAAAAGGTGGACTTTTTTCACCATTAATGCAAAAGTATAACATTAAATATGTATTTATTAGCATAATCTAACAGATGCAATCCTGTCAAATTCAACTGTTGTTAAAACAATTGCATCAAACCTAGTATTAAGATAGCTCACTACAACGAGTTACTCTGAGAAGTTCTTAATCACAGCGAGAACCTTTGAACACAATCTTGTTCTCGCCTTTTCCTAGAACGTTTTTAGAGGCAGTCCAGATCCTCCACATCTGAGCTCCTGGTTCCTTTCTGAGTGATCCTCGTGGGAAGCTGCAGAATCAAGCATGAGCGCAAGAAGTGAGGACAGTCTAAATGATCTGAAGCTCGTGATCTTCAGAGAGTCCACAGCTGATCTTGTGTTGATGGAATAATTTGGTTAGAGCCTCCATGTAGAGGTTGTGATAGTGGTCGACCTCCTCCTCAGTCGGTGTGGTGCACTTTGGCACAGAGATTGGACTTCCCACTGAAAACACGAGAAAACATGGGCTCTGTTGATCAAACTGTTTGAGTAACACCATTTGGTTTGATCAGAAACAATCCCTCACCAACTGTGGTGACTGGACTTCTGTAGGGCACCAGTGCTAGGTGCTCTCCAAAAAATAGACAGGGTGCAAAACCCATTATCATTTTAAACAAGTCCTGCAGCCTGCGACCCAGACTGCCCTCTGAGAAAATCACCTGGCGGAAGAGTTCATTCTCCCCGAAGGAGTAAACGGGCACCAGATCAGCTCTGTGGAGGAGAGCGGGTATTATTCTGGCACTGATGGCTGCAGCGGCGGGCTTTACGCAACACGTTCTCACCCAAACTCAAGAGCCATCCTGACAAATCCCTTTCTCTGCTTCATGACCACTGTGTTGACTCCAGGAGAAGAGGCCAGAGACTCGGCGGCACCTCCCACCACAATCACCACCGCATTGCCTTTCCCATTTTTGGAGAGGAGGTGGGCGAGACTCGCTTTACTGACGGGACAGAGCCCTTAACACAGCAAAGTAAAAGCGTCAGTAGTTCATCTCCTCTTAAAATCAAGAGTAAAAAAAAAATTACATTTTATGTTTAATTTTGCTAAATCGTCTCAGCATCAACTTCCATTTCCAATTTAACAACATAAAATTACAAATCTGATACCTCTAGCACAAATAATCTAGATATGTTCCCTGTGCTAGTGCAATATTTATCAGATTTTGACCAAGTATGAATAGAGTGACAGGTCAAAACTGAATATTTTACACACACCTGCACTCATTAAGTATTCTCTGAACAGTGGTAACTTGAAAAGGCCTGCCAGTATTGCCAGAGTGGACTTGATCCCAGGAAACGCCTCGGCGAAGCCGCCTCTCTCGGTGCTGAAGCAGGAAAAGGCCCCAGCGCACATGATGCCGTGTGGATGGCTGCCAAAAATGTAGTTTTTGTTTGGATTCAGGTCTGCTGTCTTCACCAACTATGCAGAAAAATAAAAGTGATCAGTCAGATTCTGCTGTTAAACCAAACCCTCTTTCTCTGTATGTTATCTGACTGGATGGAGATAAAGATCAGAGTTTCATGATTACCGCCAGGTCGTTTATAGAGAGTTTATAAAAACATCTGATTTACAGCCTCTGAAATAAACAGATTCATCACAGGAACTTTTATAGTTTATAGTATCTGTTTTGATAAAGAATAAAGCGAGATGATACCGGCACCGGAATCTTATTGTAATTATTTTATATACATTTTATACCAATTGAACTGAATGACTGTCAGGAGCCCACATCATCAACCCTCCACCACCATGCTGACAGCTAGGATCTGCTGGTTCTGATGATCAGTTGGGTTTGGTTTTTTCCAAATACGGAGCTGTGAATTCTAGGAAAATACTCCAGATTGGTCTCATCTGTCCAAAGGACAGTGTTCTAGAGGTCTGGTGATGTACCCCTTTGTCCCATGAACTTTAACCTTTGACCTTATAACTGACACTTGTAGAGTCTCAGATGGAGCTCGTGGGTTTCCTGAGCATTCAGTTGTTAGACATTCAGGTTAACTTGTTGGGACATCCACTCCTTGGGGGATTAGGAACAGCTCAATAGTCTTTCTGAAATATGATGAACTTTAGGTTTTTATGACCTTTAACCCTTCTCAGATTGATCAGTTGCAGCAGTTGCATTTCTAAAATCATTGCTATATATCCTCCTTGATGTTGTGTAACACACACACACACACACACACACACACACACACACACACACACACACACACACACACACACACACACACACACACACACACACACACACACACACACACACACACACACACACACACACACACACACAGATCAACAAAACTTGTGCTTGAAGAAAAGAGGTCAGTTAATAAATGCATTTGATCAGCTGCTCTCCCACACACATTGACTGGAAGCAGCAAAAGATGGAGAAATTGTTTAGATTTGAATAATTTTAGAACTTTGTGAGAATCTAAAGAGGGTGTTATTAATGACTAAATGAGAAAAATTGTGAGACAATTAAAAGGGAAAACTATTTGGACATGATTATTTTTGGTCTGAAGGGTTTCATATTTTGTCATGAATTGATTTAAAATAGCAACATTATATAACATTTACAGCCTCAGCGTTGTTTCAAATGTGTTGCAGGCTTGAATGGATGCATCGCTGCATCTTTTCCTTTTCATTTACCCCCCAGCTTTTTGTCATTTTCATCAGGGCCACATTTTACAGTCAGATCTGTCAGACTTCATTATGTCATGAGACTTCCACATCTAGAAAATGAAAATTGTTTTAAAGTAAACTTACTTTGATTGGGAAATAGTCTTTAAAATGCTCCCAAACCTTCCACTTCCTTACAAATGTTGTTCTTCTGCCCCCTGGTGGACACAAAAAAAATCTTAGCTACAGTCAGAAATCATATGGAATTTAGATTTAGCTAGAATGGTGTAACATGAAGCTATCAAATATGTTTTTTGTCTTTTTAATTAAAAAAACGTAAATCTTTGATTTTTGTGTGTTGGCAGTAAGCTAAAAGTTCAATTGACTTTTTACGCAACCATTAAAATTCACTGACTTTGGTTCTTGCATAAAATGTATTTTGTGCCATTGCTATAGAGGACAACCAGTTTAATGATGCCGATGTTCTGAAGACATTTTTGTTGAAACATCTTTGGCAAACTTCCAATAATTTGATGCTTTTAGTTGCCACCATGATGTTAAAATAGGAGAAAAGGAGGTTTATTTTTTTGTTTGTTTATAAGTGACTTTACTTTGTATTATTATAAGTATGGAAAAACAAAACATTTTACTCATTAACCCATTCATTCGTTAATTAATTATTTAATTCATTCATCCTCTATTAACCATTATTTTGCAGGGTCACAAGGAGCTGGTGCCTATATGTCCAGCAATGGCTGAATGAGAGATGGGGACATGCTGGATAATAATAATAATAATAATAATAATAATAATAATAATAATAATAATAATAATAATTATTATTATTATTATTATTATTATTGTTATTATTATTTCTGAATTTCCTATGAATGGCTCAGCTAATCAAATGATTTATTATCTCCCTCTGGTGAGCTGATTGAATTGTCTGGGGGGGGGAATTCTCTGCTCTGCTGCAATTGGTTGTTTCTCCACTAAGCTGCAATCTGTGCTTTCATTGTCAAGCAAGCGATTATACTTAAAGGGTTTAAAAATTTTGTGCAATAATTAAAAAGGTCAGTTGGCCCCACAGCAGTGTTTGCCTGAGTCCTTTGAGCTTCACTTCCTTTTAACAAAAATATTTGTGCAGGACTTTTTCAGAAAATGATCTCAGTGGACCTCAACTTCAAGTCGCTATTGTTAAACAGTAAAATGAAGAATTTACCTTTTTCAGGGGTGTGCCAGTCCATCACCAACCACATGAAATAAAGAGCAGACAGCGGCCACAGCGACGTGAACGTGAGATACACCATCAGGATGAGGCAAGCCACTCCTGGAGGTGGGTGATTTGGTGCCAATGTGGGGTCAGGAGAAAGGTCGTGTATGAGCTCATGGATCATTCATGCAGTCAGATGCAGGAAATGGTTCAAAAATCAGGAATTTGTAATGAGATCTTACCTAAGAACAGAAAACTCAGCACCCACTGCAGAACACTCACTGCCTCCAAAAACTCTTTCAGCTGAGATTTTTCTTTATTCATTTCTGCAACCTGGAGGCCAGAGCAGTAAAGTGGCTCCGACACTTAGATAAAACAGATTCCAGACAATAAAAGTGATCATAGATAATTTTTTATGATGGAGGGCAGATTGCTCTGATAATCAGCACCACAGCTCGTGTCCCCAATCTTCCTTTTGGGGATGAAAGAGACTTAGAAAAGTTGTATGGCATTCAGCAGTCTGATCAAATGACTCGCTCATGAACAGGCTATCGGGCATCCACGCAATAAATAATCTACCCACAAGTAAAACTATCAGTCGTGCTGCTGGGACCACTAAACAGTCTCGGCCAGCCATCGCTATAACAACCAAAAACAACTTTTATGATCACAGACGAACAAAAAAAGACAGAACTTTACCTCAGCAGGGTTTATTCCTGGGTTTATTTGAATGGATGAACATGCACTGCCTTTCCACAGTTCACCATAGTGCACTTTGACCAGATCACCAACTGTGAGGCTGCTGATAACAAATCCACTCCCCCAATACTTTGACATGCACGCTGTGTCAGAGACAAACAGGTTTACGGGTTGGTACTTTGCATAATGGATCTTTGGAGCACCATCAGGGTATACAGTGATTTTACGATTAGATTACCTTTTATGCATGGTGAGTGTCACTGTTCCTCAGTCCAGTGGTTAAAACGATTACGTAACAATCTGTTTGGTTTCAGTTTTAAAGGAATCTCTCTAGTCGTGGTGAGTGGCTGGTCTGCTCCAACATTTTTGTTTGTAAAGCATAAACAGCATTTATACTCTTACTGTTGTAACTATTATTTTAATTGCTAACATATTAGAAATAAACACTGACCTGTGTTTTCCTTTTGATGAGAAAAGATTCAACAGAAACTGTTTCACTGCCATGAGTTTGGTTGAATTTACCTGATTTATCTTTGACAATCGTTCCTGCAGGTGCTTCACAGAACAGGAAGTGAGAAAGGGTTCCTCCCACTCAAAGACTTTTCAAGTCAAAAAGGCGAAGGAAGAATCCAGCAGTAACTAAATAAAAGGAGGATGTGTGGAGAGGCTTGGAAGATTTCGTGTGTGAAAATCACACCACTCATACATTTTGCATCGTTTTTACTGTGAAATGACACTTGATTTATATTTTTCTGAAATATAAATAAGTAAACATTACAGCTGCAAATAAAGAAATATGGCATGTATCAGAAAGGACTTTGGTCCACCAACATGAAGTTTATTTTTCAAAAGCATTAAAACTCATATTTCTCCTTCAGATCTTCTAACATCTGGGTGTTCTCTTGAGTTTAAATATCATCACTCACGCTAAAAGAAGAAAACTAAGCTTCCTGTTTATTTTCTCATTTAAATATTGATCTGCTCCAAGTGTTGTTCTCTTCATTTTAGCAAAGAAAGGACCGTGATGACTCACTGCAGCAGTGAAGCTATCAAAAGAATGCTTTTAAATCACAGTCATGATGGAAAAATGCATGTTTTTTTGCAAAGTTAAGTAAATTGTTGCTATTCTTCTGAATGTTAAACCTCTGCTGCAAAGTTCCAGTCAAAAACGTATCCTGTTGAATTATATGTAATAATGTTTATATGGAAAAATCTGTGTGGAGAAAGAAGCAAGCTTCTGCTCATTCCTCTAGCCTGAATCACTTTCCTAAATAAACAAAGGACAACATATTCACAGAACAATATTTGTGCCAAGCAGGATCATTTTCAGAGTAACATGTTTTAGTAAAACATGAAGTGTGTTGTACGTGTGTGTGGCTGAGGGGGCAGGACTCAATGTCTTCTTCAGGCTTCATGTTACTACAGCATCTGTTTTAATGTGATCTATGCTTCCCTGGTTAGCATCGTGTTCGACAGCATGGAGGGCTTTATAAATATTCAGTTATTTCCCAACAAAACTGCTTCCAGCATTTGCCACAGAGACGACAGCAGAGCCTGGCTGCAGCAGGTTAACAGGTTCAGGTTTGTACAGCACATCTTTAATAATAAATGACACCCTCTTCTTGGCTAGTGTGGCTTTGGTCAACATTAACAGTAAAAGATAAGCAGATGTACCTTTACTGATGAGTGACTGCTCTCACCAGGAGGGACGTTTGGGCCGAGCACAGATTTAGAGGCTTTTCTTTAAGCTTCAGTGCACTTTTTTATCAGGTGCAGGATGTTCTGTCGTAGTTTCACCAGAGAAGTTGAACCAAAGCTGACTTTTATCATCCTGCTGCACATCTTATGGCAGTTCTGACGCACACAGAAATCTGGTTTCCAAATGGTGTCACATCTAATGTCTAGCTCTCTATTTAAAGTGAGAATATGTTATCGTATTGTTTTTTTTAAAGCAACACTAAGAGTTTTTTACACTCTAAGCTATTGCTTTCAAATTGGTTTCAGTGGATCTTGAGCCAGAAACTTGAGCAACTTCACATGGGGCCGCACTCTGCTGTTGTCTGCTGACCAGAAACTGCCCTTAACAATTTTGTGGTGCCAGAAGCTAATATAAAGGCTAGCAGTTAGCTTTATCAGTTCACCGACCATCAACGAAAAGTGCAAGAAGAAGGTTGATCTTTTTTATTTTGTTGTTGGCATCATGGCGGAGCCTGCAAGAAAAAGTCAGAGAGTAATGTCTTTGGAGGTGAAGCAAAAAGCTAAAGAGTGAACATTGGTGCGGCCTATTGAGGGAGCTAAAAGAGGCTAAAATCATGGGCTGATGGTGACATGGCTTTGTTGCTGCCTGACTTGTTCGTAATAATATTTTTTGTCCAACAGTGTGGAACTTTTTACTTTGTGGCTTGTTTAGTATCAGTAAAGCTGGCTTGTGTTGGCGTTAGTTTGTTGTTAGCGCAGGCTGTGGCAGAGTAGTTTACAACTGTTGTAATTCCACTTCCAACCAGTAGGAAGGAGAAGTGTGACATTTATTTTGTGTTGCTTTAAAGGTTTGCTATGCGACTTTTTAATATTTTTTAATCATATTCTTGAGCCAGAATGTGCTAAAATGACCCTTTGCCGGGTCTGTAGCCACAATATCACACTTGCAACATCAGGTCCGGTCCCTGCTGGTGGCGGAAGCTGTGGAGCGGAGCTGACATGTCTGGTGCTGCAGTCTGCTTCCAGTACATTGTCATGAACACAGCTGATGTGTTTGGTTTAGTGATTAATCGCTCATTTACATTAATGCTGAGAAGAAATTTCAGCATTTAGATTAAAGTGTTTTAAAAGACAAATGCACATGTGCACAAGGAAATAGATTTCATTTTCGGTTTAACCACAGTGAATTAATAACGGACACTAGGGGGTGCGAAAAACAAGCAAAATAGCAAAGTCTGAATTTAACACTAGAACTCCCAGAGAACTGCCATTTGGCACTGTTGTTTTCACCTAGCATTCTTCAATCAATCAATCAATCAATCAATCAATCAATCAATCAATCAAAGCTTTATTTATAAAGCGCCTTCCGCAACCCTGTCAGGAAGCCCAAAGCGCTGAACTTCTTAATCACTTGTGAACGTTCGCCTTTGCTCTGTAAATTTTAAGTGCCTCGTGATTTTTATCTTGAGAGGCGCTATAGAAATGATACTTTCTTCTTCTTCTTAAATCACTTCAGGCTTCAGCCCGTATTTTTCTAGCAGTCAGGTAAAGAGGCAGCTATAGAAAGAACAGACACAACTCAACAAGAGTGTCTTTACATGCAGGATATAATGACAGAGCATACAGACATCTGTAAAATGTGATTGTTTTTAAATTGCTATGTTTGTAGCCTTTATAGCTTATGTTGCATTCACAACTTGTGTGCTTATCTGGTCTTCACAAAGTCAGTCATAAATTATTTTGGGTGGGCAAGTTCAGTTGACCAGCTTCAACAGAAGCCCTTTTTACAAAAGGGCCACAAAATGCTCAGGCAACCCAAGAAAGCATTATGGTTTTATTAGAACAATAAACCTTCAGATGCACAAGCCTTTTGTGAATGTTTTGTATTGCAACTCAAACAATTTTGGGGGAATAATGCAGGTTAACTGCAATGAAGGCTTCGATTGTCCAGGTACCAAAAGAAGGTTGATAACAGCTGTGATGAAGCTGCTTTTCAGGTGTTGAAAATAAGCCAGACTCTTGAAAAGGCTTCAGGTGAGCTACATCTGAATAGAATTTATTTTTCAGGTCACCTGGCTGCAGCTGCATGTAAAAAGAAACAGTGAAAAGTGAAACTTCTTCAATCCTTTGAGTTTTGACGTGATCTGTTCTCGGTCTCTGCTGAAGCCACGCTCCTTGAGTTTTCAATCAATCAATCAATTGATCAATCAATCAATCAATCAATCAATCAATGAATCAATCAGTCAATCAATCAATCAAAGCTTTATTTATAAAGCGCCTTCCGCAACCCTGTCAGGAAGCCCAAGGCACTGAACATGGTACAGTAGAAGGTAAATATATTGAATTAATCAAAAATAAAAGCAATTCAAATTACAAAATACAAATTACAAAAAAGGTGAAACATTCTGGTACAGGACAAATGTGTAAAACAATGGATTTAGTGAACCAATGAAAACTGTGAAATAAATTCAACGTAAAAGAGGGCCAAAATCAAACATGTTCAGGAAACGTCAAGCGGAGGAGGTGTGTTTTTAGGCGACTCAAAGACTGGCAGAGATGGGGACAGCCTAACTGAGGGTGGCAACTGGTTCCAGAGTGACGGTGCTAGGACTGAGAAAGCCCGGTCCCCGCGAGTACGACACCTAGAACGAGGGACAGCGAGCAGGCCTTGGTCAGAGGAGCGCAGAGCGCGTGATGGGGAATGTTTTTTCAGGAGTGTGGCTAGATAGAGGGGACCACCACCCTGGAAGAAATGATAAACAAAGACGAGGATTTTGAATTGTGAGCGATAGCAAACCGGAAGCCAGTGCAGGGAGGCCAGAACCGGACTGATGTGGTCCCGTTTCCTGGTTCCAGTCAGGAACCTGGCTGTGCTGTTCTGCACAACCTGTAGGCGACGCAGTGATGACTGACACAACCCTGCATAGAGAGAGTTGCAGTAATCAAGCCTAGAAACAACAAAGGCATGAAGTACCCGCTCCAGGTGGGCTCTCGACAGCATAGGCTTGATTTTTGCAAGGCATCTCAGGTGAAAGAAACTGGACCGGATCACAGAATTGATGTGAGCATCAAATTTAAGGCCAGCATCAAGTTTCACCCCCAAACTGGTAACAACTGGTTTTGAGTAGGGAGAAAAAGGGCCAAGATCAACATAACGATCCAAATTCCTGCTGTTGGGGTGAAAAACATGTATGTACAGTCTATGGTGAAAAACAATGAGCTCTGTCTTTCCCTTATTCAGATGTAGAACGTTGGCCATTAGCCAAGACTTCACCTCGTTAAGACAGGACACAAAGGACTGGATAGAGTGACCTTTCTCCTGACACAATGGAGAGTAAATCTGGCAATTGTCAGCATAGAGATGGAATGATAGGCCATGTTTATGAAAGATTGACCCCAGAGGTAGCAAATAAATGGCAAACAAAAGAGGACCAAGGATCGATCCCTGCGGGACCCCCCAGCGGAGCCCCTCCCAAGATGAAAAAACATCACCCAGTTTAACGCAGAATGTCCTGTTGTGGAGATACGATCTAAACCAGTCCAGAGCAGACCCTTTGATCCCAACCCATCGTTCCAAGCGATCGAGTAGAATTGCGTGGTCAACTGTGTCGAAGGCTGCTGTCAGGTCTAACAACAGAAGCACCACAGATGTACCCTGATCCAGTGATAGATAGATGTAATTTAGGAGGGTTTTTTAGACAAACCCTCAAAGAGGTGGTTGTCCGTCACAGCTCCTGAGAAATGTCTGGCTACTTCTGCCTCTACTCGTAAAGACAGAAGTTCACAGATCTCGTTGTCACTCCAATTAGCCATGTCAGCTGGTTGTTTACTAAATGTCCCATGTTTACTTGGTTCATATATTATTTCCGGTCAGGGGTCGCTGCACATTTGCTACGCCATTTGACATCTTCCTCTGTTGTGCCAAGGTGCAATCGCTGTTTATAGAAAAGACACTTACCGCAATGTTACTACCAAGCGAGGCGCAACAAATGCAGCAAAATTCACACAACGCCATGCCAGCATGGCGTGTTTATAAAACACACTGTTGCAGTAATGTTACACTGATTTGCCGGCACAGTGTGTCTTGTAAAAAGGGCTTGTGAGTCATTTCCTACCAGGGCTATAGAGGCAAACAAAATGAGGCCAACCTAAATGACTGAGAATTTTCAAGGTCCCCAACATTCCTCCACATTCCAATGGGCCAATGAAAGGCAGCTAATTGTCAGTGACTACGTTTACATGCAGCCAATATCCGGGTTATGATCGGGTTAAGGTCAGTATTCGGGTTTCTGAGTTGATCAGAATAACCCGTTTACAAGCATAAATAGAAAGAGTTACCCCTAACTTGCATAACCCAATTTAAATGCGGACGTTGGGGTAGCGTCAGGACGTATGGACTACGTCCAGACGCAATATGTGTCATTTCTGGTTCTTCTTTTTCCGGTATCCTTGAAAACAACAACATGTTTCCCTGTTCGGAAGAGATAGCGACCGCGTTTGTTTGCGCTTTAGTTTCCTCGTCACTCCAAAAGTGTGGTGCTGTGCCGCGACTCGCCATGTTGCTCCCAACTTTTTGTTTACTTCCGGTGTTCTGGCGCATACAAGACGTCTCGCTACTCAAAAGACCAAGATTCCTTACGAACAGAGCATGCGCATAACACACGCTTTGATGGGGATATCCCGATATGCGTTTACACGACCAAACATTCGGGTTAGAAAAGGGTTACCCCAGGTGTAGTTACCGGGTTTTTAAAAACCTGGTTATGAGCATATCCGGGGTTTTGGCGGTGTTTACATGGACCTGCGGAACCGAGTTATTGTGAATATTCGGGCTTTAAAAGGGTTACTGGCTGCATGTAAACGCACTTAGTGACTGAGTAGTGATTTTCAAACCAAGGAGCCATTTGGCTAACTTTGGTAGAGCTGAAGGGGTCAGAAAATCCTGGTAGTTCTAGTGTTAAGACCAGGGGTAACCCCAAATGGTACATAAAAACAACAAAACAAACAAAAAACATAACATTTTATGAGTTTTATTGTGTATAAAATATAAGTTCAGTATATGATTTCTTAAATCTTTATTATTTCTACTGAATGAATAAATAGTTAATTCAATAATATATAAATCAATAAAGAAATAATACATATACATGTTGCAACTCATTGAAATCTGTTCCTCTCTTTATAAAAAAATCCTATAAACTGTCTGGTGGGTGTGGGGGAATAGGCAGATCGTGTCTGGGGGGTGGACTATTGCCCCCTTTGGTCTTAGCTTGGGACTGCCACTGTTTCCTCTCAGACCATGTGTTGGCTACTTGGTCATGTGACACATTTCCTTCCTAAAAATAACACATTTGTTTGCATAACTCAGAAAAACACATTGTTAAAATAATATTTTCCTCTGTGAAATTCAAATATTCGTTTTGTTTTCATTTCCTATATTTCTAAGATAAAAATTTTAACTTTGCAGCAGCAGCTTATTTTATGTCAGATAAACTGATTTTGTGTGTTCCTGCTATTCCAGTAAAATAGGAACAGTCTAGTTTGAATGATGAATCTGTGACATCCCCTGAGCCTCCAGTCGCAGCTGGACTCAGCTCCACCTCGGATGCTGTTTTTTTTTCTGCATCTCAAAACAACCACTCGTCTGCTCTCAGGAAGTAAGCCTGCTGGATGAATATCAATATGGACCCAAATGCTCGATGAGGATGCCCAGCGCCTTAGCGAACGCAGCGCGCGGGAGTCTGCGCTTCTTTATGTTTTATTTTTGAGGTTTAAACTGATGTCCCTGTTCCCGTCTGGTGAGCGACATGGCTGAGCAGCAGCAGGATGGGCTCACAGACCCCACCGCGCCTCGGTAGCAGAACTGCGCGCTGTTTATCATAAAAATGGAAGACCTTTCACGTCAGGAAAAGGCGTCAGTCCGGCGATGTGCGTCTGAACATTGGATTTTTTACCCATACGTCAATTGACACGTCGGGGATTTTTTCCCTTTACCGAGACAGCTGTGTCATCAACAACCGGCGTGGTTTTGTTGTTGTCTGATTTTTTACGAGTCTGGGCGCCCGGATCTGGGCTGTCGCCTCGTTCTACCTCTGCGCCAACCACAGGAGACGCTAACCAAGGTATGGATCACAACACATCTCTGTTTTACTCCACAAATCAGCTGTTTGCATCATCTAGACGCACGCACGCGGCTGTCCGGGTCTGGTCAGCGGAGGAGAACCTGCTGTTTGGTTGCGGTGAGACATCGGGCCTAAATGGCATCTTTTTTTACGCGTAAATTTCACGGAGTCCCGAGCTGGCAGTGATGCGCCGTGAGCTCACAAGACTCAACCTTGAGGTGTCGCAGCTCTTTTAGGGTGAAAATGTCGGGTTTGGTACGGGGTCAAGAGAGGTGCGTGAAGATGCGCCAAGATCACCCTGCAGCGCGTGTTTGACTTCTGTCGTGACGGGTCTCTGATTCATATTTCAGCCAAAAACAAGTCAGCAGCCACCGTCAGCTGGCCGGGGTGGCAGGAACACGCGCTGCACTTGTGCGTGTTTATTTCATTTCATTTAGAACCAAACGTTCCCCTGAGCGGAGCAGAAACGGTGGTGATGATGGGAGACACATCTGCATGTTTGGGACTTAGAACAGGTATATGTGCGTGTGTGTGTGTGTGCGCGCGTGTGAAAATGGGCGGTATTTCTAAAGATTGTGAAAATACGGGTGACGTGTGTGCGTGCGCGCGCGCAACCAGGTAAGGATGTGTTGGCGCGTGTTAGGAGAGGCGAGTGTACTGTCTGCTGATTATTGTTATTGTTTGAAGGGGAAATTTAAACATTATTGGTGATTAGTGCTCCATCAAGTGCCGCAGTGTCCCACTCAGCCCCTTTTCTCGTTGGGTAAACGTGGAGTCTGCAGCGTTGCCCTTCCCTTTCCACGGGCGTGACAGTCACTCCAAATGAAACGCACACACCTCCAGAGAGATCTCCTACTATGTTCACGCCCTGCTTCTAAAAGCAGACGAAAGAAGGGGATGCACTGTTTTCTGTTCAAATGAATCACAGAAAAGGTTCCCTTACATGAAATAAAATCCTAACCATCTGCACTCAGTCTACATTGCATTTTGACGTTGTCGTTAAACAGTCACGTGACTTTTGTCTGGCACAAAATAAAGGGATTTAGCAGAACACTGCAGTGCTTGCAAAAACACGTTGAATCCAGTAATAATATGATGATTCCCCCCCCCCCCCCCCCCCAGTAAAAGCCGTAAATCAGAGTGCTTGCATGGGATTTTATCATGAATTGGCAGCAAATCTAACGTGACCTTGGACATGCACATATATGACTAAAACTGGTACACTGCACTTGGCATTAAGTCTGTCCGAAGCTAACAGATGCACATGATCAGGATCTGTGTCTGTGAGCGGTTCAGTTTAACCAGAGCAGGGATGGGTGAGAGCAGCTGCGAATTTGGGGTCATTGAGTGCAGGCAGCCAGGCAGGCACACTGTGCTGTGTATCTTCAGCACAGAGGAGGAGAAAATAAAGCGTTTTCTGGGGCTTACACCAGCTGCCATTGCTTGTTGTGCTCACCTGGTGATCCTGACATTCAGATGTGATTAAATCAGGTTACAGCCAGGTCATGTTGTCTCATTCAAACCTTTTTCTAAGCACTCAAATGCAGTTTTCACCTGACGATTTCATTTATTTTGGGGAAAAAAACTTTTCAAACCTTCCAAGAGCTTTGTGTCACAATGTGAGCGTCCTGTCACAGTGTCCCGATTGATCATGAGCCCTGGCTACTTGGCCAAGGGGACAGCAGTAGCTCAAGTGGTAGAGCGGGTTGCCTCATCATCGGAGGGTCATGGGCTCGATTCCAGCTCCCGCCAGGGGTATCCTGCTGTTGTGTCCTTGGGCAAGACACTTCACCCAACTTGCCTATGTTAGTGGTGGTCAGAGGGGCCGATGGCGCCAAATGCCAGCCTAGCCTCTGTCAGACCTCCCCAGGGCGGCTGTGGCTACAAGTAGCTTACCATCACTAGCAGTGTGTGAATGTGAGAGTGTGTGAAAGCGTCTTTGGGTGTCTAGAAAAGCGCTATATAAGTTCAATGCATTATTATTATTATTATCCCATTGTCTCACTGGTAAGCGCGTATGACTCTCACTCAGGAGTCTGGGGATCGAATCCCGCCCGGACCCTCGTTTCTCCACCTTGCCACATTTGTCAAAAAGGATCTGACTCCATAAACTAAATAACTGGTGACACTCGCCATCAAATGTCCTCTCGTGTCACTGTGGAGGAACTTAGTCCTGCTCCTCCTGTTTGAATTCTGACTTGTTTAAGGTAAAAAGGTCAGATGGTCTCCTTCAGGATTTTCTGCTAGAGAGCAGAATTCAGCAGCCCCAGGCCATCACTCTGCCACCACCATGTTTGACTGTTGGTGGGATGTTTTAGTGTTAGTTCTTCTCCAGATGGACACAAACCTTCCAGAAACTTCTTATTTTACCTGACAGATTTAAAGTCTCATTGGGTCATCTAGATAATTGTGAGACAGGTCGCTTTGCCCTCTTTAATCAGAGGAATCAGAGTTTGTTTTTTCAGTTTGATCCCAAAAGGAGTTTAGGACCCAAAGAGGGAGATGTTTGATAGAAACTGACAGACTGATGAATGAGAGACAGATTTACTGGATTCTGACATTTTAATCTCCTTTCTGTGGCGCAGCAGATGAGCATTTAAGGATCCTTTTTTCTTTCCTTCAGTGGAAACATAAAGCAGATTGTTTTCTTGGAGCTTGAGCAGGACATTAGGTTAGTAAGAGCATAATGCAAAACCTCTGGCCAGCAGGGCTTCAAAATCAGTCCAGCTGCTGTTACACTCAGCTGCCTTTGGTGTAAAGACGAGAAACACCCTCGTCTTCCATCTGCTATTTCTCCATCTCCATCAGAACCTGAAGGGTGGTTCTGCTGCAGCGTTTTAACAACTGCAGCTGTTACAAACTTCTTAGTGAATATTCATTTTTTTATTTGGTCAGGGATTGTTGGATTAAATCTCAGCGCCCAGTTCCCTGCATCGCTCTCATTTGCTTTTACACGCTGCGGTAATTAAACAGAGCAGAGAGGATTAGATGATTAATTGATTTGATGATTGTCAGAAAATATCATCTGAAACAATTTGATGATGAGATCCTTGTTTTAATCATTTTGAAGGAAATTATTGACACAATTCAATATTTTCTCATGTTAAATGAGGAGAATTAAGGTCAAAGAAAGACAAAAAAGGTTTTAGATAATATTTTTCTTGCTCAATTTTAATCCACTGGCTCACGTTAAAAAAATGTCTGTTTCGAAACGCAAACAGAAATTTAGTGTAACTGCTGACCCGTCTGTTTACTCTTGTGCCCTCCCCGTCTGTCCGAGGATGAAAACTTTCAACATAAGAACTTGGACTTTGAGCATTTTCAAAAACAGTAAGATATTAAATATCAGAGGGATTAACTCTGTTGGTTTTAGGTTTAAATCAGGTCTGTCCTGGTTTTCTCCAGGAACTGTTTTCATCCATGCACGATAGGTTCATCAGCATTTTAAATCTAAACTTGTAAAAGGGTCGTTTGGGTCAACGAAACCGATGCTTACCATATTGGTAAACAGAAGAAGAAGAAACAGTCTTTTATAGAGCGCCTCTCGAACAAAAATCACGAGGCGCTTCACAAAAATAAAAAAATTCATAAATTGAAATCTTTAAATAAAAACAAACAAAAAACCCCATTAAAACCTGATTAAATTCAGTCCACAGCTGATTATGACCCAAACGTCTCACAGGATGGACGAACGCTTTCACTACGATCACTTTTTAGAGCAATTGATTTCATTCAGGCACTTTGGATTTTTACGACTTGTTAAACTTTTGTCACACTGATGTCTCAGCCTGTTCTTGATTTAAATCCAGATTTTCAGATGTTAAATAAGTTCTTAAACAAATTAAAGAAGAAATTAGAACCATGACAAGAAACTTAAAGGTGTGGTTGACTGAAAAAAACATTTCTGATTATAATCCATCACTCTGGGTATTTCATGCAGGCCGAACATGAAAACAGTCTCCTACACCTATCTCCTACATTAGCTTCTGATAGAAAATAGATAGTGGAATGCTAGGATTGGAAAAGCTCCACACTGTGATGTCACACGGTGAATTTGCATTTATGGCCTTGCCCATCTTGGCTCACGCCCACCTACAGGAAGGCGTTTTTACTTTTTTTTTGTTGCAGCAAGGACAGAGAGTGGAGAGTGTGTTGGTAGTAGTGACTTTGCAACATGGCTGAACCCGTTCTGTTAGCCAATCAGAAGTAAGGTGTGTACATATCATTAATAATAATGAGTAATCCTGCTTTTTTCAGCCCACCTCTGCACAGGCAAACTTCTGCATCTCAGAACAAGAGCATCATAGCTTTTTTAAATGACTCATTATAAGGCATTGATTTACACTAACCACTGCAAATGTCTAGAATAATTTAGTAAACTGCACATTTAAGGTAAATCAGGTCATCTATGGAATAACTGTGGATTACAAATTTGATGCCTTTTGTGTCTCAAGGTTTAGGAAAGATTTTTATGTTAAATCTGGGCCAGAATTTAGCTGCACAAACACTTTAAAGGATGAAAAGTACATTTTTCAAAAGAAAAATCTGAGCAGAAGTAGAAAAGTTTGTGAACTTTAATTGCATGGACTGCAAATCTGGTTTATTTTATCCATGTTTTTCACATTGACTTTTTAAAATAAAAACTACTAAAACAAATCATGTTTTTTTAACAAATGTAAAAGAGTTTAGCCTAGGAATTACCTAAATTATACAGCATACGTACAACTAAACGATTAATCTGCATTATATCCTGCTCTGTGATGCATTCTGTATGTTATTTGTGCTTTTCATGATAATAAATTGACCTTAAGGACATTCATCGGTATCATAAATCCCAGTTTTCATCATCTTTATCTGTAATCTTTGGGAAATTACCTTTTCCAGATTAGAAAGACTTTTTCATTAACTGGAATCAATCACAGTGTTCATTATAAATAGGTGTAAAGGTAAAGGGTCTCTCTTGTGGCTCCTTGATTAAAGGGCGTGCCATTTACAAGCCA